TCCCTCTACAAGAATTCACAGTCCTTCCTAAAAGGAATATATTCTGGATGAAATTGTGGCCCTACTGAAGTATGAGGCCACATATTGTTCTGCTATTCCAGGAACTGTTTAGGATGCAGATTGTGACTCCGAGGCCAGATAGAAACAAAAGGACTTTAAAATCTTTTTATCTTAACATTGATCTAATTTTAATGAACAGCAACAGTACTCAAAATATATACTGAGTATATGAGAGCGAGAGAAAGAGAGTGAGTGTGTGTGTGTGTACACACAAACTTTCATGGATAAAATAATTTTAGAGTTGCCATTGCTCAATTCAAACATAGTGATCACCAGTAAGAGCAGAATTTCTCATGTTTTTGGAACATGTTTAGATGTAATCAACCCAGAGACCACCTTTTTGCAAATAGTAGTTATCTCACTATCATAATTTGATAAAATGCACCAGTCACACAAGGTTTCAGACATTTGAATGGAGCACCTTTTACAAAGTTACCATTTTCCCCTTCAGTCTGCTTCAACAGTCAGATTCCTAGTTGCTATATGTAGAGTAACAGTGGCACTGCCTGGTCACAAAGTGTAACACAGTATAGCTGTTAGCACAGCATCCAAATGATTACAAAGGAAGTCATTGTGTCAAATTCTGCTCTTGGCTGCATTGGTTTAAGAAGAACTTGATCTCTTGTGTATCTGTTTAATTTGCCTTAGGTTTTAGTCTGGTTTCCTTAGACAATTTTTGTACTTTCTGGCTGCATCTACATGAGACGCTGGCTGCACAGTACCCTGATACTACTGTGTAGCAGCTTCATGCAACACAATAAAGGTGTTTGTCAGCATTACTGCACAGTAACTCAAGTTACTGCGTATTCATTTAGTACTTGTTTAGACAAGTACTAAAAAAATATTCAGTAATGACTGCGCATTAGCTTCTCGTGTAGATGTGGCCTTTGGGTGGAATTTTCAGAGATGCTCAGAGTTGGCCTAACTTTCCTAGTTAAGCCAAAGGGGGGCCACTCTCAACTTTGGGAATGTTTTAGGCCAGTGTAAAACTCTTTTAAAACTCCTCTTTGATTTTCAGTTCCATTGGTTCCCATGCAATTAACAGTAACACAAAGCTATGGTTGCAGTCCTTGTAATTCTTACCTTTCCTGCCTTTGGAACCAGAGAATCCTGGCAATCCTGCAGGTCCTGGGAGTCCAATGAGGCCTTGGTCACCTGGAACACCTGGCAATCCTGGAACACCCACAGCACCTGAGAGTGAACAACTTTCTATTTACTGCAGTCATTAGATGGTGGTAACAGGGGCTCAGCCAAGCCACGTACTGACTTGTGGGGAAACAGTGAACCCGTGCAACCAGGGCATGCTCTGCTGTGCTGCTGGGCAGACAGCCAGCATGCAACAGGCATCCCCTGGGCTCTGCGCTTGGAGTGGGCCAGGGGTCAGAACCTCAGTCCCACATGGGCTCGGGCTGCAGCCCAGAGAGGTATCAGGCAGCTGGTGCATGGACCACCACCTGAGGCCTCAAGGCAGCAGCTGCAGGGAATAATGAGCCCCTCAGGGGCTCCTAACACCTGCTGACAGCAGTTGGGCATGCGGGGCTGAATTGTAAGGAGTGACCTAGAAACCACTACTCAAAGACTAAGCAGAAGAGAATGTTATGTGACGAATGCCCATCTGCAATGATAAGGAGGAGACAGTCCTAGATAAAGGGGGCTTGAAAACAAAAGCAGAAGCAGGGTACTGGGTTAAAGGGCTCATTAAAATACTAAAAATCACGCCCCTAGGTGGAGAAGAAGTTTGCTAATGAAACACACATGTATGTAAATGAGATACATGGCTAAAACACAGGTATAGAGACATGCTCAGTAAAGAACTTCTTGCGTCACTCACTTATAACCAATCAGCAAACAAGCATGCTTATGAAGGTTCAAAAACTCCTGTATAAAAGATGCTTAGAAATAGTAATCTGGTGTGCTTGTTATGTGAAATTATTCCGCTCGCACCTTTTATTGCTAGCAATAAACCTTCTTTGTACTTTCACCCCTGGTATCTTTATTGGCCTTTGCATACTGGGCACGATCCCAGACTTGAGCTGGGGCACAACAGAATGAGGGGCCAGATTGGTTTCTGCCAACCTGGGAACCCCTATGTGAGCCCATACCAACCCCAGGACTGGTGGAACACACAGAGGGATGAGAAATCTTGTCACATTTCCTCACAGAGGCAGGGGACAAGGAGTCTGAGACCCGAAGCTCTCCAGATGAATGCTGGATCACCAAGCTGCCGGGAAAAGCCAGGTACCCTTCAGGACTAAGCCGGGGTTCATGACTTCCCTGGCCTCACATTACTCTGGAAGTCTGCCTAGGACAGGCAGACCTACACAGACTGAGCAAGTATAGGGCAACCCATGTGGGATTGAGACTGCCTGAAGAAAAGTGACCAAGGTGCCTGGATGGCCAGAGAAGGGCCTAGGGCATGGTTATTTGAGTTGTTGTTAGTTTGTTTGCTTTTTTACATGGGCCGTGCCCAGCTGACCCTGAACTCACAGTAGAATCCAGTCAGTATAGCCAAAACACACTGATGCTGGACAAACCTGGTTGCTTCTTTTTCCATCTGAGCTGTAAGGCAGTCACTCAAGACAGCCAAACGTGTATCCAACACCAACTGGAACTCTGAGTGGAAAGGGGTGGAGGGTAGGGGAGGAGAAGCCCCACAGAAGACCCCAACAGTGACCCATGCCAACCTCAGTCAGCTCTCTAAGCAGGTACTAAATTCCTATACCTCTTCTCAACTAGTTATGGTAGGCAAGATTTGAAAGGGAGCGAGACACCGGCTGAGCACACAGACCCCATCTCAGTGCAGCCACTTGGCTTGGGTCCCTCTACATTGGTGTTTTCCCTTATTGTCCAGACACTGTTTATTCATAGGTTATTCATAGGTTCCTGAAGTCATAAATTCTCTCTAAAATAATTATCAGTTCTTGTTTTACCATTGTGGCCCTTCTTGGCAAACTCTCTGCTCCTTTATATAGATGATCCTGCATCAGGCATGAGGTTGGACTAGATGACCTATGGAGGTCCCTGCCAGCCCAACATCTCTATGGACATGTCTACACATGCTTATTAATAGGCAGCAACAAGCTCTGGATCTTATTACTACCAGGTGTGTCTGCACTTGTGCCTGGAGTCGAAGTCCTGGCTGGCAAGGAGTCCTGGGGGGTCAGCCTACCAGCCTGAGGTTGCTTCGACCCAGCTCAATGTGCTGCAGAGGGACCGGCTGGGGCACAAGGGTGCTTCAGTGTGGGACTAGGCAGCAGACAGACCCTACACTGAACCACCCTCATGCCCCAGCCAGTTGGGGCAGCATCTACACATGCGCTGGTGCAAAGTTTTTACTCTGCACCAGGACAGTACTTGTAAATAGTACATATAAATAGTATTTACAAGTACTATCTTACTGCAGAGTAAATTCGTTTACTCCAGCCTAATAGGGGCATGTGTATAGATGTCAAGACGTACACTGCACAGCTAATTAATCTATTGCACAGTAAATGTCTCATTTAGACATGCTCTATAATTCTAAGATTCTCCTCATCTGCACTAGAACACCAACCTACTCCCCACAGTTATGCTTCCTCAGTGGCATTGTTTAGAATCACACTGAACTATAGATCCAACTCCTTTCTTGTCCTTTTGGAACAGATCCTCATCCACTGTTTTTATACTTGAACTCACCTGGAAAGCCTGGTACTCCTAGGTATCCAGGAATCCCTTTAGGTCCTTGTCTTCCAGTTTGCCCTTGGGCACCAGGAAAACCTGGCTCACCTGGGAATCCATGGGGACCTTAATAAAAGATAAACGTTAGTTTCTAATTTAAAGACATACATGCTTCATACTGTGGAATGTTTAGAAATCCAAGCTCGGTGTGCCTTGTCACATATATATTTATGAGCAAAGAAACAGCTTTTACACAAATACTTCAGCATTTCAAATACACGAATGTTTATGGTGTGTTGATGGTAAATTGTGACTACATTTAACATAGAGATAGAGAAGAAATTACTTTGTCAACTCCCAACCACATGGCAAGAAACAGGTCTTCCTTTATTACTTTCTGGGAAGTTGAAGAAGGAAGACCCATTCCCAGAACTGCCATGATGTAGTAGTAATGCTGAGCCACCTTTTGGTAGTTAGCAGATTGCTCATCACTAATGCATCCAAAGAGTTACCGACCCTACCTCCTCTTCTAATTTTGTGTTCTGGGCTATGCAACATGCTGTGAGGCATCTCTGGTCTTGGACTTCACAAGGCCCAAAAACCAAAACGTGTGAGCATTAGACTGCAAAGCAGTTCAAAAGCAAAACAAACAAACAAAAACTAACTTCTAGCAAATCTGACACTATTTCAGCTTCCCTCTTCCCCTGTTCCCCAAGATATATGGGATATATGTACCTGGTAAGCCAGGCTCTCCTACAGGCCCTTTTGGACCCGGTAGACCAGGTTGACTGGATGGGTCACCTCTGTTCCCTGTTAAATTAGAAATAATAACAACTGTTGTCAGACATGGATCTGTTTATCCACAAGGCCCAAGTTTAGTACCTTTGAAGGCTATTAATTTACAAACATTGAGATAAAAAATAAATGACAGAAGTAATCCTATTACTCTGGACTAAGAGACCATAAAAACTAGAAAATAGTTTTTGATAGGCTTACACTAACAGGAAGATGGTGGGGCAAAGGAAAAACTTCTCTGTAAGTAACTGTGTTAGGCTTTTGTATTAAATATGAATAATACATGTGCAACACTCACCTAGGCCTCAGTCAGGAATGAGGTCCCCTACTGCTAGGTGCCATGCAAATAAGTGTAATAGGGTACTTTTATCCAGGGGTGGCCAACCTGCAAGATGCCACAAGCGGCATGGACAGCCTTTGTGTGTGACAGAGGAAGCAGAGTGGCAGACAGGGCAGGAAGCAGAAAGCCAGGCCAACAGATCAGGCAGGGAAAAAAGAGCAGAGAGCAGAGTGGCAGATTAAGCAAAGGAAAGAGATTGGAATGGCACCTGGGGAGGGCATGGGGCTTAATCTGTAATATGCCTGCCAGATGTTTGGATCCCCCTGCCTTAATCAATATTTTGAAAGCTTCACCAGGTTTGGGGATTCTGTCCCTTTTATTTTTTTCTGTCCCTTTTATTTTTAAAAGATTTTTTCTTTTATTTGCTTTTTAAGGTTGTCACAGGATTTATTAATGAAAGAAGATTGATACCTAAGTCTTAAAGCTGTGGACAAAGGTAAAGAGAGTATCATAATATACTTAGTGACTGTGATGCAATCCATAGACAAATACACAAAAGAGAAATATGAAATTACATCCCTAGCAGTCAGGAAGCTTAAGATGGTAGAAGTGGGTTATTTTTGCTTTAGGAGAGAGATAAGAATAGACACAGGCACAGCATTAATAGATTATATCTTTGTATTACTATTTAATTTAATAATGTTGCTTTGAACATTTAAAGACGTTTGTTGTTGGGATCTTATGTTAGCTACTGAATATACTGGTGTTCTGTTGAATCAAAGCAACAGTGATAGGTGGAGATATATATTTTCTTTATACATCATTTAATCCTTAGATTATCTAAACAATTACCATTTCCTAAGATCCTAACTCATTTAGTATTCACTAGAACTTCCACTAAGTTCAAGACGAATTTGACATAGTGAAGACTCAGTATGGAACTCAAGAACTAGCCTAATCATTGTAAAGTGCATTGATTTAGAAAAGTGCTACATAAATCCTCTGTGTGATTATAGTGAAGCAGACACAGTTCCTGCAGAAATAGCTAAGGAATAAAAAATTATCCCAGTTTAAGTCTATTTACTCAGAAAAAGGTATCTTAGCCAATGGATTCAATCACAGTGGAAACAGTAGGAGCTGGTAACAGTCTTTGATGCAAAAATGTAAAAACACTGATGGGAGAGTCTTGATGAGGGCTACAGTCCTATGATGTGAAGAGAGAGTGGCTGATACTTCAAGATAAATGTTCTGAATTTGGAGACAGAAAGCTGAATAGTAGGCAAACCCTTTAAGACTTGAGAGAGAGAATTCTACTTTGCCAGAAAGTATTAATCTATTTACAGGCAACTTTTAAGTATTTGTTCCATACTGTATGCATCTATACATTCATTAATGTGCAATAACCAGCATTATTGTGCTGTAGTGCTAGCACACGTCTTTTTAATGGTGCTACTATGCAGTAATGTATTAGCACTGTTTGTGCCGTGACGTGCTACTGCACAGTATTATTAGGCTACTGTGCAGTTAGTGTCTTGTGTGGACGTACCCACTGTCTATAAAAGTCTTTTAAGCTCAATTTTCATTATGAACCTTGAATTTGCTATGGAGGAAAATCTAAGATAAATTGCTATGTAGTAGTTGTGTTGTGCCTTGCCCTGTTACAGTGATTTTCTAAGATACTAAGTCACTAAGATCCACTTTTAAAGTAATACATCAAAATGTAAAGAAAGAATTGGATTTAGGGATTGCACGGTCTTGCTTTTAGTGATTTTTCATATTTGAAGGATCTGTCTCTTTACCTCTTCTGAATGGTGCATCTTGTATACCAAAGTATATACTAACCTAACAATTTGTTTCATGCAGTTTGTGCATTTCAGCTTGTTACCTTTGCATCCTTTTCTGCCATCTGGTCCTGGACTTCCAGGAGTTCCTGGTAAACCCTGCTCACCCTGACAGTATAAAAAAAGAGCTATATTTCAAACACAGTATACAAAACAGACACAATCTACAAAAAGCACTTCTTTCTTTCACTGGTGAACAGACGAAAAATCTGAATAGGAAGACTAGGTCTGGGGTCTTCTGTCAAGGGTGCTAGCTGATTAATCTACTAACTTGTTCCAGTTAGTGATCAAATGTTGGTCTTTTCATGCACTCACAAAACTTCAATGATCTTTTAATTAGATCAGGGCACATACACATTATATAATACTTCAACATCTTGAACACCATCAGTTGGCCCAATTAATAGAACTGCATTTTAACAGTTGTAGTTTATCTAAACCATGAACTTCAGTGATATACTTTACTCAAAGGCATACATAATTATAAATGTAAATGAAATATTAGCTTTGACCAAAAAATAAAAATATTGAAGTCCACTTCTTTTTTATTGTAATTAATGGACTCTCATCAGGAAGACAAATATACTCAGAAAGGTCCTTCAAAACAGTTTAGTAAGACAAAGGCCTAGCAGAAACAATATATAAAGGACTAAATTCAACTCTGATTTATATCTTGTGCAATCCCGCTATCTTGCTGTATAGGAACAAACCAGCAAAGAATTTGCTTCTAAGTTTGTGTATCACATGTACTGATATTAATCCCTTAAAAATATCATCTTTTAGTGTGCTGCTCCATGCAGTAGGTATGTGTCCAAATGCAACAAGGCAGTGCCAAGCTTCTGCCATTGTAGTGAAATCTTGTGAAGTCTTTGAATGAGTAAGAGCATACCTAGCCAGTCCAAATACCAGGCAAGTACTGTTACATCACTGAAGTACATGGGAGGGGCACCCATATAACTCCCAAATATAGGTGTAGGCTTTTATAAATAAAATTAAGTAAAAACATTAAATAAAGCCATTTCACATTGTGGACCATGCATGTCAGGTTAACAATGTCTTCTCAATATGATTTAAAGGGCAAGTAGCATAAAGTTTGTGCATCAAAACCAGTGGCAGCATACCATTGGGTGTGTTTACATGTGATGCGATGTCACCATAGCAATGCACTCCCTCATTATAGCGTGTCGCTAGTGACATACCAGCTCAAAATAACCGTGCACACGGCTCAGTACAGGCTGTTACTGCAGTGTCATTCAGCACTTCCAAAAGGAAGTACTAAATGATGGTGCAGTAACAAAGGTGTCATAGGGACACATGTAGATACACCCACTGTGTATCAAACTAGTCCAGGTTCCTAAGATGTACAAAAACAAAGGGCAGTATCATGTGCTGTGGTCTTGCACCCCCTGCACTTAGCTTACCTGATCACCCGGGGCTTCTGAGAAACCAGGAATTCCTCTGGTGCCTGGTGGCCCTGGGGAGCCTCGTGGGCCTGGTAAACCTATCTGTCCACAAATGCCAGATTCACCTGGGAGTCCGGGGAGTCCATCAGTGCCTGGCAATCCTGGGAGCCCTCTGATTCCAGGGCTGCCTTTGTCCCCTGAAATTATCCCATCACAAAAGACTATTTTAACATCCTCCTACCTCCTATATGATACACTTCAGTGGTTCATTTCTGTGTGTTGGTATAATTTGTACATCCATGATCTGTAGACTACCCAGAATACATATGCAACTAACTAAAGAACTTGTAGACACAACAACACAGCAGAATGCTCAAATGTTAGTGTGTTTCTTCAGACTTATGCTTGTAATTTGTATCTACAATTAACTGTGGGTGCAATACTGGCAACAAGTGGTCAGTTTAAAAATCAGGCATTTTTATGCACCTGCAGGCATGCACTCCTCTATTTTTTTATTACCTCTTTCTCCTGGAAATCCCTGCTCACCAGGAGGACCTGGATCACCCTTTTGTCCTTTCTCATGGTGTATGATGATGTAACCAGGATCTCCTTGTGGCCCTTTTTCACCTTTGAAATAGAACACAGGAAATTACACAAATACTAGCTGATGAAAATGTCTTTTGAATTCGTTCTAACAGTTGAAATTCTTCCCAGAGGATGTCTTACTGTAGTTCTTTTTTCTCATCTTTTTTGGAACTCAAGTCCCCTTTGTTTCAACAAGTTTGCTGCAAAAGCTGTCTTTTCCCTTCTTTTAATTGTTTTAGCCAGTTAACCCTTTTTTTGTTAGTTTGAAATTACTCCATTTGGATGCAGTAATTTGCAGATGTTATTGCCCACATGCTTTATATATGTACCAAGCAACACAGAATATAACAACCTTGAAGAATGTCTGTTTCAAATCTGTTGGTAGTGTCATACAACTGTCATTCACTACTAAGGAAGAGCTGTGTTGGAGGCACCACCGAGTGTAAGGAACAAATAAAAAGAAACTCGTTCATGAATGAATCAGACTGTTTAAACTGACTGATTTTCCTTTTTTCATAGGCATTTTAATCCATACATGGATCCCAGTGGAAACATCTTTGATTTTTCAGGAGTGTAACTGGGAGAACAGTCAGGCCCAATATCTTTGAAAATGGAGGTGACTAGATAATAAAAGATACCCTTTTTAGCAAATAAAAAATGGAAGCATACAATGCTGTAACAAAAGAAGCAGTTGTAATGCAGAGGCAATGCTGTTTCCACATACCTTTTTGACCTCCATCCCCAGGGTCTCCAGGGAGCCCAGGTGGACCCGTTTCTCCTTGTTCACCTTTTTCACCTGGGATTCCCATCTCCCCTTGTTTTCCTGGGGATCCTGGGAAACCTCGGAGCCCTTGAATCCCTTTTCTTCCTATTAATAATATGAAGATACCAACTTTTTAAACTACTTGTCTCCTATGTTGCTAAGAAAGGGAGCAAAGTAAAATGAAAAGCATTTAAAAGGAACTTTCAAAAATTAGTGGACGTACTTGACTCATACTGAAGAGCAACTTGATAGATACAAAATTTGCCAGAGCATGTGTCTGCTACCTACTTAGATAACTTAATCATCACTGTAATATCTAAGCTGCTAAAGGTTACAAACAGGATTGTGCTGAGGCATCATGGAAAGTAGTAGTTGTGGTTCCCATATACTCCTCTACTCAGCCCTGGCAAAAGTTGGTTTCTAACTTAAACCTGGACTTCAATTGAGTGAAGATTAAACATAATAGGGGCTGTCTTTTATCTTTGCCCCTGTGTTGCAACTTCCTAACAGCGCCCCTCACTCCCCCACTCCTTACTCCAGGGTGGAATGTGGCCGGTATGGTAGGTGGTAGAGATTCAGAGACACCTTTTCCTAAGCCTATGAAAAGTGGATACTATCAGCTACTTCCAGGCTACTTCTTGCCCTGTTATGGGATCAAGTTGCCCTAATTAACCAGCCCAGCTGGCTTACAGAATTTAGGTTCCTACCTATACCCCCAGCTCAAAATGTGGGTCACAAGTCTTCCTGTGGATAAAATGTAAGTTAGTACATGGAGTAAATGAATTGCATCTTTACTTACATATCTAAATAGTTTCTAAACAGTTAGGTTTTACTAATGATTGCCTAAGTACCGGAAACATTAGACAGGACTTTCAGCTGGGAAAAGGTACTCTTCAAATTACATCAGTATATCTCCTTGGCACACCAGGCATTCCCAAAACATTCTCACTGAAGACACTTCATAAAAAGTAATACATATTACAAACAGGAAAAAAAATCTGCTTATAACATTCTTAAAGCAACCAAAATAACAGTATTTTTGGAGCTCCCTGTAATCCCCAAACTTTGGCATTTTTCTTTTAATACAGGAGAAAAATCACTGAGCCACATTCTAGAAGCTGGATGGGAATGAGATGCATAGTATTCTTGCTGACTTCTGTAAGACCAAGAGCAAGTCCTTTATAAGAGAGGTACATGGAAAGAGGATGAGTCTTGGGATGCTTGGATACCTTTCAGTCCTGGGAGACCAGGCAGTCCATTATCCCCAGGGAGCCCTGATGATCCTTGTGACCCTGGAGGACCAGAGTGCCCAGGTATGCCGTTAGGTCCTGGAATACCCTTTTTTCCAACTGATCCTGGGGAACCCATGTCCCCCTGGTAGCCTTTAGAGCCTGGAAAGCCTGAGAAAACAGTTTGTGTTACTATACTCAAGTGTACAATGAATGAAGATACGTTTGTGTCCTTCCCTTTACTCAGAAAAGAAAAAAATCCCTCAGTAAGAGAGCTGATAAAAAAATGATGTGTCTGGTTTCCTTCCCCCCCTTCCTCTTCTGGAGAAAATTCTTTTTTTTTTTTTAATTTGTTTTAAAAATAAATTAAATAGTGTCACAATACATCATGGGAGCAGTGAGATGGGAGTACCAGCTCTCATAAATAGTTTGATTTAGGGCTGTAATATTTTGGATTTGGGTATGTGCCTTGTTTGATAAAAGATCAAAGATTTCCCTGGAAAGCATGCAATTTTTTGCAAAATTTTTGTTTAGTTAAAAATCCAATTTTATAACATCAAATAGTTGCAGTAGAAATTTTTTACAAGCCCTCTTCCATGCAGTATTACCCAAGTCTAAGCTAAACAGAACATCACTGTAACTGCATTAAATGAACAGCACAGCAAAGTTAATGAGGATGACAACAATATTGGAGATTATTAACCCTCCTGTAATATTAAACCATTATGAATATATATTTAGTGGGCCAGTTAAGCAATTTACGGTATTATGGGAGATGGTTTTGGGAAGGACTTTTGATTTTTTTTTCACTCCATCAATGAGCGAGATGAAATCATACCGAGTAAAGGGAGCCTATAAAATATGTGGCACCATGTGTTGCCAGAAACAATGATCCCCACTGGATTGTATCTGACATACCAGCCATGAGATTAAGAAGCAAATGGGAATTAAAAGGCACAAAAATCCCAGAATAAATGTACAAATGAAAATCTTAAGAGCTGTGCTCAGACCAACTACATCACATAGTATTTTGTTTATCCAAAGTTCCCCCCGAAGTTTGTTTCTTTTTGAGCCGTATAACACTGTCTTCCCCTACCAACTTCATTACTGTGGAATTGATGCTGCACTTCACAAAATATGTAACAAAATAAAATATAAAATATGTAACGAAAACATGGCTGAACTGCATTGAGGGGCAGCACATAGGAACACAGCAGGAAAAGGTGTTTATAAAGTTTTCTTTTGCTTTCTTTAATTATAACAGTCTGACTTATTGAGTTAATTCTAACATGCTGGCACGTGAATTGCTATTTACAATAGAACAGGGCTTCAATGTGATGTTTTAACAAATTTATTTGCACATCGTTCGTGATACACAAAGAGCTAAGAGAAGGAAAACCTGTCCACTGGCTAGTGGGAACATTGGCTAATTGTGCGAAGGAAGCTGTTTTGAGGAAGAGGAAACAGTCTTCCAGTTGGCTGCACCTTCATATGATGACTAACTTCCACCATTTGGTCATTCTTAGCTGATGTTTTCCTAATGTTTAAATGACAGTTTCATAAAGGTTTTGGAACCATTACTGTTGAAGTCAACAGGACTTTGACTAATGGCTTCACTGGAAACAAGAACAGGTTTTGTCACATTGGTGGAAAGCCAATGGCATATGGAGTAAAAGGAGAAAGGGACTATTTGAGTTTGAGAGTGTTTATTTGAAAGAAAAAAAAAATGGATAAGGCTCAAAGCTATGAGCACCACTTACCTGGAGGGCCTGGCCATCCCTTTGGACCTGGCAGTCCCAGTGGCCCTGGTAAGTTTGTGTCACATTGCTCACCGGGTAGGCCTCGCCGTCCTAGAGCTCCCATATCTCCTTTTTTGCCTCTGCGACCTTTAGCACCTGGAAATCCTGGTGTACCAGGCTGTCCTAAAACAGACAATATTTCCCATAATAAAAAGTGCTTCCTACCTACTTACCCATCTCTCCTCAGTGCTCCAGGGCTGTAATTCTGAGGCGACACATTTGGCTGCTGTTGTTTTGTGCCCATGTTCTTGCATGGTTCTTTTTTACATGTTTCCAAAATGTCTCATATTTTCCTGCCATTTAGAATTGGTCCATAAATTTACAGACTTTGTCCAGGTCTTACCATATCTCAATTGTTTATAAACACAGGTAGCCAAGTTATTCTTTAGACCATTTTCTGTTCTCATAAGTTAGTGCTGTTCTCTTTTAGATTTTGATAATGTGTGTATCCAGGACAACAGGAGAAATATTTTTTCTTTCACATAATATTTTATCTTCTGCTCAAGGGACTGGATACTTTCAGTTACACTGATGTAAAACTCAAAAGTAGCTTCACAGCAGTTATTATGGAGCCACAGAAATATGGCAAACAGGCCCCGTCTCTCTTTGGCTATGAACAGGTGTTTGTGGCACTAGAAAGTTCCTGGGCAGTGTGTAGCTGGAGAGCTACAAAGTTACCACAAAGGCTGCTCTCCACCAGAGGACAATAAGGAGATGCTCTTGAGCTTCCTGCCTGCCTCTTTGGGAGCCTATCACTGAGCCCCATTGCTGGCAACCTGCCATCTCCAGCAGGCTGTCAGTGCTCCAGCAACCCAGCAGCTCTTCCTAGAGTCCTCATGGTACAAGTGGCAGCTGTTCCCTCTGCTGCTGCCACCGCAGGAACAGGGGATCTTCCAGCTGTTCCTGGGGGGCTGTGCCAGCAGCAAGAGATGCTATGCCTCCAGTGACAAAAACAGCACTTCCTGGTGTTCCCATTGCTGTGTGGTAGCAGAAAAAACTACAGCTGTTGCAGAAATAGGGCCTCTTGCCAGTGCTCTTGTAATGGCCACAAGCACTGTGGGGCACCAAGTCTTGCTGGCGATCCTGTAGCATGGCAGCAGGCTGCCAGTAGGGCTCTTTGATAAACCATGTCAGCAGGCTGTCAAGCAGCTGTCTGCTCTCCCTCCCTCCTCCAAAAAGTGTTCCATGTGGTGCTACAAACATTTCCTCTCTGAAAGGGGAATATCTGTGTAGTGGATTTGCCATTTTTATGGTATTACAGAGAGTGAACGCATCTGTATAATCAGTGTTAGTAGTGCTACAAATGTAACATCAGACCATGGCTTCTCTACTTGTAGTTTGAACACATTTCACAGAAACATGAGATTCCTACCTTGTGGTCCACGGCTGCCTGGATCACCTCTCATGCCTTGCATGCCAGGTGATCCAGCTGACCCTCTACTGCCTGGAATTCCTGGGGGACCATAAATGGTATCACCTGGAGCCCCTTTCTGACCATCTCTTCCAGGAGTGCCAGGTGAGCCTGTGCTTCCATCTGAAGTAAAGCCTTTTTCACCTTCACCCCCCGGCTCCCCAGCATTGCCCCGGAAACCTGTTAATGTAAACATCATACTAAGTGGGATATAATTCAGAAGACAAATTTTAGAACTGTGCAACGCTAATTCAAACTTCACAAGAATTAATTATTCCTTTCATGTATAATATATATAATGTAACATCTATATTTCAGGTCTCTCTCTAGACAACACTATCATATGAGAAACCAAGGAGGCATTTACTTCCTAAGCCAATGATTACTGGGAGTTTTATAGAAGTGATGCTGTGATTTTGTTTGGGACAGTCTAGGTTTCTTGTATTCCCATTTATGTCTTTGATCCTCTTGCTAACAGTATCTTTAATATGTCTGCAAAGATTACACAGAGTGATCATGCTCTTCCCCAAGTTCTGAAATGATCAAGTTGCAGCAGGATCTTCTATTGCTGGTAGTAATAAAGCCTCGCAGAAAGGATTCATGTATGCATCAACTTTAATGGAGAAGTATTTTCCATCCCAACCTGAGCAACCATACCCCTAAGCTTCAAACAGGCACCATGTCCATTAAAGAAAGGAGATGGAGATGTTTAAAACTACCATGGTAGCAACCCTGTCCTCTAGCTGTCCAGGTAGGCATTTATAGTAATTAATGTCTGCACAGCTTCATGCTTCACAGATAAAAACAGCTCTTCATCCACTTACCTCCTGGTCCAGGAATTCCTATGCCTGTTTTGCCTTGTTGTCCTTTTTGTCCATCAAAGCCATCTGGCCCAGGGAGACCAGGCGGTCCTCTTTCTCCCTTTGGTCCTGACAATACACAGAGAGAATACCAATATGTTTGCATATTTGCAACCTATCAAGTCTCTCTGGGTGCATCTACATGCACAGTTAAGGTGAAGCAATAAACTCCAGCACAGTTCGTGCTGGAGTCAACTTGTCCTGGGCGCAGTATGTATGCCTGGGACTGGGGCACTTTCAGCTGAGGCAGAGCAGCCCTTGGCTGGCAGAAAGTCTGAAGAGGGTCAGCCCTGGACTCTGGATGGCAGCGTCAGGTGGTGGAGGGGTTGGCTGAGGCATAATGGTGCTAAAATGCGGGGCTGGGTGGCAGGCAGCCCCCACACTTCAGCACCCTCATTCCCCAGCCAGCCCGTCACCATCTACACATGCATTTCAGCAGGTAAGTACTCCACCATAAGATAGTTCTGTCCAAAACAGTATTATCTTATGCTGGAGTTAATTAATTTACTGAATTATGTAGGATTTTATATGGAAGTTCTCTTTTTCAGCAGCTTTGAAAATCATGTTTCTAACCTTGTATCACCCAAGTGGGCATGAGCAGGTGTGACTGCTACATTTTTCTACCTGCTTGTTCCACTCTGCATAGGAACTCAGCTGTAACTCTCCAAAGTAGAACAGAAAAATTAATCTGAGCTAATAAGGTGGTGGTTTTAAGGCACAGGAATAAAATGAAAATTAATTGCTGAATGATGGTTCTCAACCCAATTTGTGTATGCATCCAGAAAAACAGAATATAATCTCTGATTCTTAAATAGAGCACATATTGCACTCTGAGTTTCCCTTATTCTGGGATGATGCACATAACCTGAACATGTTATTCCCTGTTCTTTTACATTAGGATATACAAGGTCCCAATCTAGCTAAAATACATAATATATATATCAGGTAACCTTATAAAGGTCAATTCAAAGTGATTCAATGAAAATCCAGCGGGTCCATTTGCTTTCAGTGGGCTAGTTATATTTTCTTGCCATTTCTAACATTTTGGATCTTGCCACAGATTGCCAGTGATCAATCTTTGGTTAAGCCATGTGGATTTAACTGGAATTAGGTAAAGGATGACTCTCTCTCTCAAAAAATAAAAAAACCTCTCAAGAATCTATTGTAGTTTTGCTATAAATTCTGTACAGTGGTCAGCATACGCCTATCATACCCTTGTAGCCAATGGGGAAAATTATGATTTTGAATGTTACTTCCTGCCTTGTAGACAGCTCTGTGCTCTGGCAAGGAAGTACTCTAGCACTGTGTCTGTCCCTGGCACAGCTTGGTTCCCCTGGTCTGTTGATGTACATACTCCAGCTAGTGGTTAGAACAAGTCCTCCCTCCTCCCCGCCCCCACCCCCTTCATTTCTGACTGTCCCATCCACATGCTTTGAGGCAGTAAAGTAGCAGCTCTGTGAAAGCTGCTCTCTGATATCATGACCACTGGCAATCATGTATGATACTATACAGTAGCAATTTACTTTCCTTCTCACCCTACAGTGACCACACAAATTGGACCAATCTGGGGCCTAGATCTGTAGTTGTAATTCATTTATAGTCTCTTTCTGTGCATTTGCAGAGTTGCTTTTTTGACACACACTGTGTTTCTGTTGAAATAACCTGCTTACCACGTGATGTGCTTTTACAAAGTTACCTATTTTTTATTAGGGAATCAAGTAGATGTTGTGTAGCTTAATGAGTTGGTAGTTTGGAGCAGAACCTGGGTTCTAGTCTGGACCCGTCCTCCAAGTAGAGCAGAAACTTCCCCTACTCTCCAAAAAACTGTTCCAAGGGAAATTTAGGCTAGGTAATAGGAAGAACTTTCTGATTATGAGGGTGGTTAAGCACTGGAACAGGTCACCTAGAGAGGTTGTGAAACTTCCAGCCTTAAGCAAGGGGGTGGACTAAAAAACCTCCTGACGTCCCTTCCAGCCCTATGATTCTGTGATTTGAGCACAGAATACAATGTCTAAGGAAATCAGAAAACTACCTTCCAGAGCATAAGTAATCATACCTTGAATACCTTTAAAACCTGGGAGTCCTGGATTTCCAGGAACTGGTGGAACAGAGCAGTGTGCATCACCTAAAACAAAGCAGAAAAAATACACAGATATTATACATGAATATACAAAATCTGAATGTTTACCAATTGTGAATATATCCATGTCATATTAATAATAATAACAGCACTTACCAAATGTACAAGCTATAATTATAAAATATTTATATAAATACTGATTTCCATATTATTTAAGGTTACGGGGTTTTTAATGTATTCTTATTACATATTTTGTAAAATGGTTATGTGAATCATTAGAACTATCATAACATCATATGAGGAATATAGAAAAATATACCTCCAAAGAAAAATAATACAATTTGACTTTTGTTTTGACACTAAATGTTAGTCTTTGCAATATGATCTGAGAGAGGGGAAAGGGGACAAAAACTGAAAGAAATATATTTTAATCCACTATGTAAATTTCTACTTTGCCTCCAGAGATGTCAACTGGTTAGGCACTTTAAATATGTAGAAGTATTTATTACTAATAATTTGTTGAAAAGGGAAACCAAGACTACAAAATGGGAATGCTTTTTACTTTTCTCTGTAGAGAATGTTGACTTCAAATAATTACTGAGAAAGATCAAGCTTCATATAAGATCATTATATAGTTTACTGTTTATCTGGATGAGAGACCTGAACACTTCCTAAGAAGAAAGACAATCAATTATTCACAGATTCATAGATGCTAGGGTCAGAACGGACCTCAACAGATCATCGAGTCCAAACCCCTGCCTAGACAGGAAAAAGGGCTGGGGTCAGACAACCCCAGCCAGATGCCTATCCAACCTTCTCTTAAAGACCCCAAGGCAGGGGAGAGCACCACCTCTCTTGGACGCCCATTCCAAATTCTGGCCACCCTTACAATGAAGAAGTCCTTCCTAATATCTAGCCTAAATCTGCTCTCTGTCAGTTTGTGACCACTGTGTTCCTTGCTATGCCAAGAGGTGTCCTGGTGAACAGAGCATCTCCGGTTCCTTGCTGCGCTCCCCTAATGAGTTTGTAGGCAGCCACAAGATCACCTCTCAGCCTTCTCTTGCAGAGGCTGAAGAGATCCTTAGTCTCTCCTCATAGGGCTTGGCCTGCAAACCCTTAACCATATGAGTGGCCCTCCTCTGGACCCTCTCTGGGTTATCCACATCCTTCTTAAAGTACAGCATCCAAAACTGGATGCTGTACTCCAACTGCAGTCTGATCAATGCCACATAGAGGGGAAGTATCACCTCCTTGGTTCTATTTGTCATGCATCTGCTAATGCATGATAAAGTGCAGTTAGCTTTGCTGATGATTTTGGCACACTGACAACTCATGTTCATCTTGGAGTCCACTATGACTCTGAGATCCCTTTCTGCTTCTGTGCTGCTGAGAGGGTCATTCCCCAGCCAGTAGGTGTGCTGGTTATTTTTACACCTTAGGTGCAGCACTCTCCATTTGTCCTTGTTGAACTGCATCCTGTTGTGTTCTGCCCACTTTTCTAACCTGTTCAAGTCCACCTGCAATCGTTTCTTACCCTCCGGTGTGTTCACTTCACTCCATGATTTAGTATCATCCTCAAAGTTGGACAGAGTACACTTTACACCCACATCCAAGTCACTGATGAAGACATTGAAGAGTACAGGTCCAAGGACTGAGCCCTGTGGGACCCCACTGCCCATATCCTTCCAGGTTGATACCGACCCGTCCACCACTGCTCTCTGGGTGCAAACCCCAAGCCAATTTGCCACCCACCGGACTGTGTAATCATCTAAGTCACAGCCTCTTAATTTATTTATGAGAATGAGATGAGATACCATATTGAAGGCCTTCCTAAAATCCAAGTAAACAACATCCACATCTACTCCTGTGTCTAGCATTTTGTGACCTGGTCATAAAAAGAAACCAGATTGGTCAGGCAAGATCCATCTCTTACAAATCCATGCTGGTTGCCCCGCTGCATTATTTTTCCCATTGGACTCACACAAATATGATCCTTAATAATTTTTTCAAAGCCTTTTTCAAGGATATAAGTGAGACTAACTGGCCTATAATTACTCAGATCCTCCTTCCGCCCCTTCTTGAAAATAGGGACCACACTGGCCCTTTTCCAGTCCTCTGGGACCTAACCTGAGCACCATGAGTGCTCAAACAGCCGTGCCAGTGGTTCTGCTATGACACCAGCCAGTTCCTTCAGTATCCGCAGATGCAGCTCATCTGGGCATGCTGTCTTGAACACATCCAGTCCTTCCAAGTGACTCTGCACCAAGTCAGTGTCAACAGTTGGTGGGCTGGTGTCCCTCTGATGCCCATCTAAGAACCCATTAGGAGACTTGTTTTGACTCTTGTTCAGGAACACTGAGGCAAAAAACTCATTGAAGAGCTCGGCCTTATCCCCCCGTCTGTCACTAATTGCTCCTGCTTATTCAGTAGGGGTCCTATGATGCCCTGTGCCTTCCTTTTACTCCCTACATACCTAAAAAAAGACTTGTTGTTGTCTTTCTGTTGCCAGCCTCAGCGCCATAGTTGCTTTGGCCTTTCTAACTGCCTCCCAGCAAGTGCGGGCCAAGTAGGTATATTCCTCCTGGAAGCTTCCTCCTGCTTCCACTGCCTATACACCTCTTTTTTTGCCCTTAGGCTTCCCTGGATTTCTCTGTTTAGCCAAGGAAGTTTTTTGGCTCCTTTCCCCCCTTTCCCTCACAATGGGATCATCTCCCTCTGCGCCCGAAGGATCACTTCCTTTAGGAACAACCACCCTTCCTGGACTCCTATCTTGCCAATACTCCTATCCTGCAGCACATCATTGACTACACTCCTGAGCACACTGAAGTTAGCCTTCCTGAAGTCAAACACTTTCACCCTACTAGTTATCTTTCCCACCCTACACTGTATGGCAAATTCAACTAATTGATGGTTACTGTCCCTAAGGTGACCACGAATCTGCAGCTCCCCTACCAGGTCATCCCCTGTATCCAACACCAAGTCCAGTAAGGCATTCCCCCTAGTGTGACCATATATCTCTTGCGTTAGGTGAATGTCCTGCATGCAGGTTATGAACCTACGTGAACGGATGGATTTGGCTGACTGCTCCTCCCAGCAGATGTCAGGGTAGTTTAGGTCCCCCATGACAACCATGTCCCTAGACCGTACGGCCTCTCTGAGAGCTATTCCTTTCATATATAATGTAACATTTACATCTCAGGTTCCTCTCTGGACAACAGTATCACATGAGACACCAAGGAGGCATTACTTCCTAAGCCAATGATTACTGGGACTTTTATGGAAGTAATGCTATAATTTTGTTCAGGACAGTGTTTCGGTTACTAATAGAAATAAAAAAAAAAGTAAAATATTGAGATGAATTTTTGTACCAGTAAAAATTGAATGATGTACAGAGTAATACATACATAAGTAAACACAAAAAAACAGATTCAGTATACACAGTAAAATCGCAGTGACCTCTTCAGATAGAGCATGCTGTTAGATTAATAGACACCTCTTAGAAGGCAATTTCTGTTGTATTTGACCTTGTGGCTAACCAGTGAGAAGATGGAAGGATAATATTGAGCAAGATCTAAGAGCTCTTACTACGAATTACCAAAAATAAGAAAAATATGCCCCAGATAGAGGCTTGTAGTCTGACAGAAGCTGAAGAACCTGGAGGATCTACATACCAAGAGAAGAACAGTAGCATATTTTATCACATATAACATGAAACCTTCCCCCAAAGTCTGTTGGTGGAATTTGGAGTGTGCATTATATGCAAGGAAATATAGTAAAAACAGGTTCTGCTAATGGTGCTCAAAGGGAAACTGATGCACTGGGCTTCCCAAGGGTCCTGAAATGTAGTGGTAGGGGGAGCGGCAGAACATTAATTGCTGTGGCTGTGGAAGCCATGGCAGTTAACACTGCCACTGCTCCCCTGCTACCAAATATCCAGACTCATGGGTAGCCCTCCAGCTGGATGACATGGTCCTGTGCACCAGATTAAGACAATGTGTAGGGTTGGTCCACAATTGAACCTGGCACACAGGGACAGACCCGGTGCACAGTGGACCCAGCATGTGGAGTTGGTCCACAGGCCCCATCTGGAGTGTAGGGCTGGCAGCAGGCTCAGGAGCAATTTTGGCTCCCTACCTGCTGCTACTCAGTTACTAGAAGAAAGAATTGTTTTTCTTCATGCTGCCTTTCAAAAACAAGGTGTGTGTTATATGTGGGGGTGCAGGTCTGTAATAGCTGAAGCAATTTCAGTCTGCAGTAAATAGCTACTTTTTGTCAAACCTGCCTTAACACAAATAAGCTCCGCTACTTAAGAAGTTCAGGCTTGGACTCCTATAAAATGTTTTTTCCCCATGCATATCAGATAAAGAAGGTACTTCAGATCTCACGGCATTTATGATATAACATGTCTGAAGTAGGAACAATTTAAATCAATTTTAAATGTCCTTTTCTGCAGAAGAGATGTACACTGAACAAAACAATTCAGTGTGATAGCATAAAACGCAGCACAGAAACAGTAACAGCATCTCACAGTTTGCAGTCTATCCCTGCAAGAAGGGCAAGTGGACTTAGTAACTTGTTCACAGTTGAACTTAACCATCACTGAGCCACTGTGCTTCAAAAGAGGATTCAAACAGAGTCCAAGAACTGGAGAAGTCATTGGGTGTTTGTGTATGTCAGAGAGAAAGGTTTACTTTAACATGTTTGATGAACCAATTAAGATGTTTAATTGAAAAAAAAATCTTATAGCCTCTAACATGACATAAGTGATCAGTAGCAAAGAGAAGTTTGAGGAAACTGAGCGGCATGGAAAGTATCATAAGTAGGGACTGACTGAATCTGCAATAGAAGTGGGCCGTGTGGTGGGTCACCCCCCCCTTCCAACTCCCCCTCCCCGGCTGCTGATTGGTGGAGGGCCCCCACTGCTTGCTCCTGATTGGTGGGGAGGCAAAAACCATGGTTTTAAATATGGCACTGTGTTTGGCTCCCAGGAGGTCAGCAGCAAGACTGCTGGGGCCCCTCAGCCAATCAGTGAAAGGAGGCAAAAACAGTGCCATATTTAAAACCATGGTTTTTGCCTCCCTGCTGTTCAGAAGTGAGTGGCAAGGCCCCTTTGTCATTCAGTAGGGGGGAACCTGCACAATTAAAGTCACCGCCACACAGCACACTTCCACCCCAAATCTGGCAGGTCCCTAATTATAAGGGAAGGAGTCAGCTAGTTAAAAACCTCAAGCTTTATCAGAAAACAGGGAAATATTCCCAGTATTAACATTTCAGTATGTGGCCTCTTTTAAATACAAAGTCTACGTTTTAAAATATAGGTAAAGACCAAATCTAGTTCAGTTTACTGAAATGACCAACCCTATGTTTATATCTGAATTAATTACAATCTAGAAAAATTAACTGGATTTTACAGAGCAGCTTTTATGTTTGGCAAGATCTTAGAATTAACTTTCCACATAAAGCAATTTGAGTTAAAAGACAAAGATTATTCATTAGAATACATTGAAAGTAAGACAATAGGAAATGTAGAAGTTTGAAATTTCAGATGTATATATAAACAGCACTGAATGTGATGAAATATAATGCTGTATTTACTTAACAAAAAGATATATTCTGGAAGGCACATTTACATGTCTTTACTAAGGTCAGCGGTATTACTTCAATTAATTATTCTTCTCTTATGCTGTTTCCCATTTTTTTGTCTGGTCGTGCCATCTACCCGTATATTCCGTTAGCACTGCTTCATGAATCCGCAATTGTTCTGTATTGCATGAATGCTGTTAAGCATACTTTTTCTCTGTTCCTTCATCAACAGGGCCTGCCTTGCCAGAGTTAAATCTATTGATGTCACACAAGTAAAGGTTTTCAGGTTCAGGTCTTGAGTCAGTCAATATTCATAGATGCTGCCCATTGGTTGGGTCACATCTGTGTCTGCTCTTGAAGCTCTCTCTTACTCATTTTCATCAGACTGCACCAGTGTCATTACAAATAACACACATGATATTGTAATGCATCCTACCAAGCACATCTGTCACAGGATAGTTTTTAATTTAAATGTCTAGAGTTACCTTTTGAACCCTTTAGACCAGGTGGCCCACTTACACCAGGGCTGCCTGGGTCCCCAAAGAAGCCTTTGTTTCCCTTTGGGCCAGGAATTCCCAAGCCTGGTAGTCCTGGGGGTCCTCTCACACCAGGATGTCCTGGGGTTCCAGGAAATCCTTTATCACCTGGCAGTGGTGGTCTGTAATCACCCTGTTGTAAATGAAAATATGTAAAAATAACCCATTGTTTTCTGTTATCTGTAAGTACAAAATGTCAGCAATATTTAATATGTCACTCCTATGCCATCAAATGACAGAATGGTAAACCTGCTCATTCAGTGACTTTTCATCGTGACATATGAAATTGCCTTTGTCATTGGACCAGTTTTTTCTCTTGAAGTGAGATATTCCCCTTACCCATGATTAGTGTTCAAAGCCTGGGTGACATACAAGTCACTGAAGCAGACTGGGAATAACAGACAGTAGATTCTGATTTCTAATGAGCATTTCTGATGCTCATTTACAATGAAGCTGTTGATAAATATTTTAAAACACATGATCTGATCAAAGCTAAGTATATCTCCACCAGTTATACAACTTGAAGGCAACTCTTTTAACCATTAAGTAACCTGTGCTCTCTAAGTAAGATGGTATTAATAGGAACAACTGGTGGGTAGATACACAGAAGCTATGACTTAGCGGCTCAATGTACCATGAAGAAATATATTACTTACATAAAAAAAATAATGGTTCTTTTCTGATCTACTGATCTGATGCTTTTTCTTTAAGATGGCAATAAAAGGAAAGTTAGGTTCTCATGTCTGAGGCTTCCCTACCACTTAAACAAGTTTAGATTAAAATGAGAAGCAAAAGTAAAATGATGACCAGAAGCTGCTGTAAGTCACTGTTATGTATTTCTGCAGGATTGGATAAATAAGCTGGGCCTCAGAGGAATCCCAACATGTTTGAATGTGTAAAAAAAATTAGGCATGATTGAAAGAATACAGATAAACAGTTTAAAACTGTGATATTTATTTTATTTTGGAGAATTTTGTAAAGTATAATCTAATTGTTTTGTGTCAAGATTGTGAGCACTACATGAAAGGACAAACTGCTCATTTATAATGGAGTTGGTAGTATGCAGAGTGGGAAGCTAGTGCCTTCACCTTGCTGGGGAACTGTTTTTCTGAAATACATTTTCCTATCATTTATAAAATAAATTGATGGAAGGTACTTAAAGCAATGTGACACAGAAGGTCTTAGCAGAGAAGGAGGAGGTCAAGAAAGATTTTACTATATAGAAGGCTGTGTGAAAGGTGCAGAGATGGGTATAGGAAAAGAACACTGACAGAATGAGGGGATATAATGAGTTCAGGGAATATAACTAACAGAAGACAAAGGCAGAGCATCAATATACATTGAAACTAAGCTCAAAGAATTTGAATAAGGAGTGAGTGCAATGATTTTAGGAGGGTCTGGCTATGGTCACAATATAAGTGAAGTACATGAGTTTTTTGTAGCAGAGGTGTTGATAAGCAGTTGCTTAATCATGTCAAATGGCCAGAAAGAGAAGGTTGAAAAGATCTTGAAAGTGTATCAAGAAGAGATTATTGCTGATGGGGGAGAAGCCAAATTAATAAAGGAGAAAGTTAATAGAGAGATCTGGAAGGCGATAGGAGTAGGAGAGGGTACACAGAATCTTTGCATTTCCAGGCCCAGAACCAGTATATTCAGAAATTATACATGAGTACCCAAATTTAAACAGCAGTATTATTTTAGGGACATCAGATTATTTTGCTATTGACCAGTAATCAACATTTTGCTATAGATTAACAGTAAACTATAAAACCAATTTACTTGTAAAATTTACATATGTAGGTCTGACTGGGAGGATTGACAAGACCACCTGTGCCCCTGTCTTCCTAAGCCTGGCCCCCAGAGCCCTGTAGTTACTCATGATATGGTTCAGACTACTCCTGGCCACATCATTTGTATCCACATGGATAAGGACCATGGGATAGTATGACGATAGTATTGTCTTGTGTCATTGGCGATGTGTAGGAGGTGCATGTGAGTGCACGTGCACCCCCTGGCGGTGTCCCCCCTACGATTGGCGGCCGCCGTCATTGCTGGTGGTACCTGTGGGCAGTCGCCACTCACTATGCCCCCTCCCACCGGCACTGCTGTGGCTGCCTGTGGGAGCTCCCCTCTCGCTGCTGTCACGGCCGCCGCCTGAGGGCAGTCACCATACCCCCCCAGCTTCAGGAAACTCGCAACATTCATGTTGTAAATAATTCTAATAATCTTTGGTGGTACTGATTTTTTTTCTGTTAACAGTTGATCTGTTTATAAGGTAAAATATTAAAAACATTAATACAAATGAGGAACTTTAATGATTGCTAAGAGAGTTAAACATACCGGAAGTCCTTTTTCTCCAGGCATTCCCCGCTCTCCATCTCTTCCAGCACTACCATTTTGGCCTGGAAATCCTGGAATCCCAGGAAAGCCCTTTTCTCCTTTTTTTCCTTAGTATAATAAAAAAATTAAGTGTGCCATATACCCCAGCCTGTCGTCTCCTACTTTCTGCTCAGGTGAAAGATAAACGATTATTAAAATTTATACAAAAGAGCCAAGTCTATACAAGCTCATAACTGGAATTTCTTTAATACAGGATTTAAGTCTTTTTTTCCCCTCTCATCATTTGGAACAATTGATTTTTAATGATATTCCTTTAGCTAGTCTCACAACTATTTTATATTTGTTTTCCATGAACATTTATGAAAGTATAGTTTTTTGCACAACATTAATTTAATAAAAATATTCAAGGAAAAAACTTCACCACACCATGTGAAATCTTTTGTAAATAAAAACCAGTGAATAAATTGCTGTGTTCCAAAATCCAGATCACCACATAGGCACATCTACATATGCATATTAAATGTGCAACAATAAACTCCGGTGCACATTGTGCCAGAGTTCATTGATCCCGGGTGCTATGTAAGTGCACCAGGGATCACAGCACATTGAGCTGAGTCAGAGCAGCCCCATCTGGCAGGAGGTCCAGGGGGTCAGCTTGCCAGCTGGGACTCACCCAGCTCAGTGTGCTACAGTGGGGCTGGCTGGGGCATGAGGGTACTTCAGTGCAGGGCTACCTGGCAGGCAGCTCCCACACTGAAGCACCCTTGTGCCCCAGGCAGTTAGGTTAGCATCTGCATGTGCATTGCTGCACACAGAAAAACTCCTCAGCAGGATAGTACTTGTATTTGAAGAGTTCATTAGTTTCCTGCAGCCTAACAGGGCCATGTGTGTAGACACAGAGACATTTACTGAGAAGCTAATTATGCAACTGCAGTAAATATCTCATGTAGATGTGCCCAGTGTAGCTCAAACAGAAGCTTATTAAGAGCTGAATCAACTGTTTTGCTAAGGCAGTATATTTGTTTCCACTGAATCTCTATGCAAAGATTGCAATGTTAGCAATTACATTTATTCTTAATTTGTTACATGATTCTATCACTTTCCCAATCTTTTCTAAATTATACACAGGCCTATGGACAGCTTGTGAACTGTTTCCATGCAAAAATGTGAAATGTAAAATTGAAGTTGTGGAATGTGTCCCATATTGTTTCTGTTTCCTGATCAGTTAGGTGTGATCCTTACAAACAGGAGCAGGATTTCTGAGGACACTCAGATTTAGAATTTCTCTCTGGGATGAAGTCACTGGTTTAGGGAGAGGTAGCCTACAATAAGCAGGCTCAAGGAACTTCAGGAAACAATTCCAAATTAATGATTTTTCTTCACACTCAAGTAGGTTGCATTTTGCTTGCTCCTAGCTGTGTTCTCTGTAACATGCTAAATAATATTTACATAAACATAAATAATCAGTTGATCACCTACAAATGAAAAGAAGCACAAAGTACAGACACCTGTTTTGAGTATGGAGGGTGGTGCACAAATAGCAGAATAGCAAAATATTTACAGAAGTCACTAGGTATGTGCTCTGTGTACACATCTGCAATGCCAATGGGAGTTGCAGCACCTCTGTAAACAGTCACCTTCATAAAGAGCCAGGGTAGTTTTACCAGCATGAGTATTCCCATGTTATCACGCATCTACACATGCATGAATGCGCTTCTAAATAAATGTGTATTAGCCTGCCCTAATGCGCAGTAGCGAAAGTGCATGCTTTTGAAATGCTGCTTAATGCATAGTAGACCATTTTAATGTGCATTAGCACATTTGCGCATATTTTACGCAACACTTTAATGTGCGGTAAAATAGGCTACTGTACATTAAAATGCAGGTGTAGACCTGCCCAATATGTGTTAAATGAAGCAAACTGGGTACAAGGAAGGAACAGATTTACCTTTGATTCTGATTCTAGCTGGGTCACCCTTTTCTCCTTTCTCCCCACGCATTCCAGGGGTACCATGGAGTCCCTTATTCAAAAAGAAAATGTACTAAATAATTTAACCCACACAATGAACATGTGTTAGGTTTATTCCCCATACTGTTTCCCAATACAGAGTTTGTAAAAACACAAAACAAAACAAAATAACAACCACCACCAAAAAAGAGCTTCCTGCAAAGGTAGTAACAAAAAAAAAAAATAATAATAATAATAATAATAAAAAAAAAATATATATATATATATATATAGGGGGCCTTATTCTTCATGCCAGTTCACATAACACTACTGAAATACATGCAGAAACAATTATATAAAAATCACTGTAATGCAGAGAAGAACTGGGTCACACAACCTTTATTCAAGTAAAAGCAACAATATTTAAGCAAGTTGTAGGGTTCACAAGGTCTTTCCATTATAGGCCCCCATCCTCCAATGCTAATAGTGTTCTTTCATTTTGGATTTCAGTGGTTGTTGGATTAAGCTCATACTATGTGAAAGGACAGTGATACATAAGGAAAAACTTCTGTGTCAACTGAAGCTTACATTGTGAGTTAAGCCTACATTCAAAGGAATGATGTCAATTTAAAATCTCACTTGTATCCAAAAATTCTGCCCATTCTTTTAATAAGCGGAATCAGTCTTCTCTGACTGAAAGAAATTAAAGGAGTCGAGGTATTTTTTCTTTGCTATGTGAAATAGCACTTTTGTCCCAGTCAGTATAATTTGTTTCACATATTATAATCAGGTAGGGTCTGAAACATGAAAGACAGGAATATATTTTCTTGTGTAGGAGGGTTCAGCTCCACAGATTTGCAGGATTGAGTCATTAATTAATTAGTTTCCCCTGTTACCATGTACCTCTTTCAAATGATAGGGAAGAGAAAAATATTTTGTAAACAAGAATATGTGATTGTAAACCTTAAAATATTGGCAGCTTTCAGAGAAAGATAATGTGCATGAAACTACCATTGACTTATTTTTAAAAACTTTCCAGATACTGCATTAGCAGTCCACTTCCCTTAATATTTCAAAATAAATTAGACATTTATGAAAATAAATAAAAGACCAGAAAAGGAACAGAAACTTAAATGAAAATGGGTTTGAACACCTCATCCATTTATCAATATGATATTTTTGACAAATTGATTGTTTTGCTCCTGTATTTGTCCTCTTAATATAAATAATCCAAGAATAAAGGGTAATAAAAATATCAATTGTACTAAGAAAACTATTCATTCTTTTGAGGAAAAACAAAATTAACAAATTTTCTTCTTGATGCGGCTTGAATGCTATAAAATATCCACCAACAACTTTTCTTAAATGTATGTAGATGGAACTAAGATTAAATGAACTATGATAAACATTTATGAAAGGAAAAGGCAACCTGTTTGACCTGAAAGAAATTCAAGATTATACAAAAAATTAACAACTTCACAATTACTCTAACAATCAAAGTAGTATAGGTGACAATCTTTGTTGTGCTGTCACAGGTAGCTAGACGGACTTTGGGATCATGTTTGTTTTTGTGTTTTTGAAGTGCAAGCAAATAAAAGGTTGCGCTGTAGACCCTGCATCTTTTATCAATAGCCTGCCTGCAAGGTTACCTGTAACCTGGGTAATAGTGAAGAGGGTTCTTTTAAGTCCTACATTCACAGTCCTATTTACTTTTAGATTCCTATGCAGGCACATGAAAAGGTCAATTTGGGAGTTCTAGCAATTTTCCCAGTATGGAAATGTTGTGCTTATTGGCATAGCTTCATTCCATTAGAGCTTTATTGCCAATATCCATTTAATTAAAAAATAGTAAATTTTGTTTAAGGGCTGAATCTTGATAGAGCAAACTTTTTCTGTATAGTGATGAAAAACAAGGGGTTGTCAATTAATATGGTTTCAGGCTGGCTTCAACAATCAAGGACAATAAAAAGTCCTTCCTCAGGTATATAGAGAGCAAAAGGAAAGCTCAGAGCAACATAGGGCCCCTGCAGGACAAATCAGGACAGTTGGTGGTTGATGTGGGGAAAAAAGCAGAGCTCTTCAACGAGTTCTTCGCTTCAGTAGTTCTATGTACTGACCAAGCCAGTTCCCCCACCTCAATCATTGACAGATGTCCACATGGCACCAGTCCGCCTACAGTTAGTTTTGAAGTAGTTAAGGAGCTCCTGGAGGAGCTGGATGGGTACAAGTCAGCAGGCCTGGATGACCTCCATCCATGGCTGCTGAAAGAATTGGCCAGTGTCATAGCTGAGCCGCTGGCACAGCTGTTCGAGCGCTCGTGGTGCTCCGGTCAGGTCCCTGGGGACTGGAGAAGGGCCAATGTGGTAACCATTTTCAAGAAAGGGAGAAGGGATGAGCCGGGTAACTTTAGACCAGTCAGTCTTACCTCTATTCCTGGGAAAATCCTAGAGAAAATAATCAAACAACACATTTTTGCAGGCCCAGCAGGGGAAACGATGCTGAGGGGAAACCAGCACGGAGCCCAGCACAGCCCCCCCAACCCACAGCCCTCCCAGGGTGCACATATCAGAGAGATACCACACCCAGAGAGTGGTGGTGGATAGTTCCTTCTTGACCTGGAGGGAGGTGGGCAGTGGGGTCCCTCAAGGTTCGGTCCTTGGACCGATATTATTCAATATCTTCATCAGCGATTTGGACAAGGGTGTGGAGAGCACCCTCTCCAAGTTCGCTGTTGATACCAAGTTATGGGGCAAAGTTAGTACACCGGAGGGCAGGGAGCAGATTCAGGCTGACCTGGACAGGTTGGATCAATGGGCAGAGAGAAATAGGATGCAATTTAATATAGATAAATGTAAGGTACTCCACCTGGGAAGGAGGAACCCCCAGCACATCTATAGGTTGTGGAGTGTCTTTCTCAGCAGCTCGGAGGCAGAGGGGGATCTTGGAGTCATAATTGACTCCAAGATGAACATGAGCCGGCAGTGTAACGAGGCCATCAACAAGGCCAATCGCACCTTGTCGTGCATTAGCAGGTGCATGACTAATAGATCAAAGGAGGTGATGCTTCCCCTCTATGCGGCACTGGTCAGGCCGCAGTTGGAGTACTGTGTCCAGTTTTGGGTGCCGCACTTCAAGAGGGACGCGGAGAATCTGGAGAGGGTCCAGAGGAGGGCCACTCGCATGATTAGTGGCCTTCGTGATAGACCCTAGGTGGGGGAAGGTTGAGAGAGCTGAATCTCTTCAGCCTTCACAAGAGACGGCTGAGGGGAGATCTTGTGGCCATCTATAAATTTATTAGGGGAGGTCAACGGAGAATAGGGGAAGCGCTGTTTACTAAGGCACCCCAGGGAGTGACTAGGAATAACGGGTGTAAACTAGTTGAGAGTGGATTTAGGTTAGATATTAGGAAGACATTTTTCACAGTAAGGGTGGCCAGGATCTGGAATGGGCTTCCAAGAGAGGTGGTGCAATCACCTAGCTTGGAGGTCTTCAAGAGGAGGTTAGATAATCACCTGGCTGGGGTCAACTGACCTCGGTCCTCTTTCCTGCCAGGGGCAGGGGGTCGGACACGATGATCCATTGTGGTCCCTTCTGACTCTACAATCTATGAATCTATGGTGCTGTTAAGTGATATACCTAAAAGAGTAGTGCTACCTTCTAGTGCTTATAAGGAGCAGTAGAGTCTATATTATGTTATATTTGACTCTACAATCTATGAATCTATGGTGCTGTTAAGTGATATACCTAAAAGAGTAGTGCTACCTTCTAGTGCTTATAAGGAGCAGTAGAGTCTATATTATGTTATATTTCCTTACCAGGCAAATGAGTGCTGCATTAAAAATTTCAAATAATTTTTTAGACAGAAATAAAGGAAATGTTTTGACATGATTAAAATTAAAGGAAACATTGCCAACTTCACAACTGTTCAACCAATCAACAGCAAGAGTTAGTTCCAAAATTAAATTATTGCTAAGAAAAACATTGTAATACATAGTAATGCTAAGGATACTGTGGGAAAGGATGTCCTATTATCCTGTACTAATGAACTTGGATATTATTTTAAAAGTATGGAGCGGTGGTACAACTGAGTCCCAAGGGCCGCCATGATGCCACCTGGTGGTCTTGTGAATCCTGCCAGACTCTGGCTCTCCAGGTACCCTCCCTCTTTGCTCTCATCTGCCATGCCTTGTTGGTTATATTTTTTATTTAGGAAAAAGAGAGGCTGCCCCAGGATCCCAGAGTGAGCCCTTGTGTTCCTCAAGTCTACCAGTTCCTGACAAACCCCACCTGCCTCTGTTCTGCCCTCAGGTGCTAATTCTGGCCTTCCTGGCCCATTCTTGCCTTCCAGTACTCACCTTAATGGCTATTCATGGCCTCTGACCTCCTCTACAGACATACCTATGCCTTGCAGGTGTTACCAATTATTCATCAATCAGGATTTAGCTCCAATCTCTGCTCTAATCTGTTCAGACCTGTTATGTCTTCAGTTTCTCCCACTCTTGTCTACTACACAGTTTCTACCACTTATGTCTTCAGTTTCTACCACTCCTGGGCTCAGGTCTCTATGCCTTCATCAATCTCTGCCCCTCTTGGGGCTCTGGCTGCACCCCTCTAGGGCTCTGAGCCCCTGGCCCCATCTCTGGCTCTCTCTCTGTCTCTCTAGCTGGGTCCTTGGCACTAGTTCTCACCTTCCTGGGCAAAGCAGCTTGCTCCCTGCCTCTGGTCAACTCAAGCCTCATGCCTCCCTGGCACCCTGGGACTCCAAACCTCCCCATCAGTCCTTATCCAGTTCCTTAGTAATAATTACAACCTGGTTTAAATCACAGGCCCAGCTTGTTAATATTGTAGCTTGATCGTGGTGGGGGCCTCTATTTTCATGTGCAGATTGTAGCACCCCCACTACGCCCCCTGATTGGCTGAGGGGGCAGATTTAGGGCCGGGTATAATTGCAAGACCAGAGGTCTTGCTCCCAAGGTCTCTGGTCACCACTGAAAAGCCCACAAATCTCCCCCACTCTGGAAGAGGCAGCAATATCAGTAGCAGCTGTCTACCCTGCATTGTTTCTGACAGGCAGGGAGGGACAAGGGACAGCAGGAGGGAGAAATTTGGGGGGATGAGTAGGGGAAGGGTTATTTTTCCCTCTGGCAAAAGGAACAGTGGAAGGAGAGAGCTTGGGGATGGGTTGGGGAGGGGCTGTTTGCGCCTCCAGGCAGAAAAACTAGGGTGCAGGAGGTTGGGGAGCACTTGAGGGCTGCCCTGACAGACAGCCCCAGCACCGGGTAGGGGAGGGGCTATTTGTTCCTCCGTGTGTGTTCTCTCTACTTCCCACCCTCAACCCCTGGTGCCCCTCTAAGCATGCTGGCAATGTAACCAAAACATTCCTTATCCTGAGGGTTACCTCCTTGGAAGCCTTCAGCCCTTCACTCAGTCCTCAGCGCTGGCCCCTCAGTCAGTAACTCAAGCCACAGCCATCTCAGCCCCAAGTACCTTCCCTAGCAGCCTACAGAGCCAGACTGTTTACCCTGGCTCAAGCCCTAGGTTTATATGTCTCCCAGGCACTGCCTCTTTCTGGTCAGGAAACCACAGGTATTCTTTCTTTAGGCTTGCTGGCTTAACTCCATGGCAGCTTACTGGTGTTGCCTAGCTGCTGCAGCTGTGCCCTGGTTCCCTTGCAGGGCTCTACTCAGCTGTATCACTGCAGAGCAGTTAGCTCAGCAATAAATTCTTACAGCTTACAGACTCCTAGGGACCTGCTGTTTGAAGCTCCTAGCGAGCACCTTTCCCTATCTGAGGCTCTCCATACAGTTGTTTCCCTCTCTAAGAAACAGAGGCTCTAGGTTCCACATTACAAGCAGTCAGCTGATTGAAATGTATTTCTTCCCCTGCTTATGTTATGTAATGTTTCTTGCCTTTTTGAAGGGGGTCTTTTCCCATAATCTAAAACCACAGTCTTCTGTGGAAAAAAACTGTACGTGTCTAAAATATTTCTTAGTAAAATGTTAGTTTCTTGAAACTAGAAATACAAGAGAAAATAAGGTACCAAGCAAAACCAGCCCTCCCCAAAACTTTCCAGTAAGTTGATATTAAGCTTGCCTTTCTCCTCTGGTCTGTCCTCCTGCAAGAGACAGGATCCTCTTCCATGCAAAATCAATTTCAAGTCCCCACAGAAGCATGATCCTGCAAGCCTCTTAGCCTTAGCCTCAGATATGCTCAGCTGAATCTGCCCCATGCAGTGCAAGAATATATGTGTCTGGCTACTCTGCCCCCTTCTCCTGAATTAATGCTTCCTACCTAGACAGTTGAGCTGCTTGACATTATTTTTATATTGAAACATGTAGGAGACACTCACCAGGAGTCCTGTTGATCCCCGTGTACCAGGCAAGCCTGAATCACCCTTCTGTCCACCCCTTCCAGGATATCCCATCTCTCCTTTCTGTCCCCGACCACCAGGTGCTCCTGGTACTCCAGGTGGTCCAGCTGGGCCAGGACCACATGAGCAGCGACCTTCACTCCCTGTATGAATGTAAAAAAAATGACGTTGAACTGCTTGTGAAATATAAAGAGCATTGAGAGATTTTCTGTAGGCAACTAGCAGGTAAGTGACTACACTGCCATTGTATCCCACCTCTCCCTTTAGAAAAGGAAATCATGTTACTCTCCCTATACAAGCCATGTTATTTTTGCCCTATGTGGGACAAGTACTCTATTGGTGCATGGCCACTGACATTAGTAGAACTGCACTGACACCACATTTGAGTCATTATTTTGATGGAATCATTAAAGTCTGTGGAGTTACCACACGTTTATTGCCAGGTTTAGGCATTTAATGATGAGCTATTTGAATGGAGTCCCCACCAAGAACTATTGCTGTTGATGTGTACTTGCCTTTTTCTCCTTTTTCACCGTTTCGACCTGGAAATCCCATTTGGCCTTTTGCTCCCAATTCTCCAGGGGGCCCATTGCTAGTACAAACTCTACCTTAAGGGGAAAAAAACATGTTGAACATTCCTACAGTTCAGGGGATGTCTTCTCTCTCTCTCTTGCTCCCTCTTCTTCTCCCTTTCCCTCTCTTTCTGTTTCTCTCTCTTTCTCTTTCCTCTAACCACCCCCCCATGATCTTATAAAGTGCTTTGCAAGCCACTGCTTACAGCAGGGCTGGGCAATTATTTCAACTGGAGGGCTGCCTAACAAGTTTTGGTGAGCTGTCAAGGCCTACAAGGGTAGCCCCACCCCTTGACAGGTGCCTCTCCCCTTGGTCGTCATCTTGGAACCAGAAGTCCTGCCCCCTAACCCCTGACCTTTGCCACCGGAGGTCCCTCCCCTTGCCCCCAAAAGTATGCCTTTTGGGAAGGGGGTTTGCCATCTTGGAACTGAGAAAAAACCCAAATTATATACTAAAAATCAAACATTGACAATAACATCTTTTAATTTGATTAAAAAAAATATTTTGTCCTGATTTGTGTGTGTTTGCATCATATATATAGAGGTGATTGAATAACATCTCAAAATGAGGTCTTACTCTTGTATATTGCAGACAGGAGGGGGGTTGAGGCAGGGTATGGGTGGCTGGGTATGCAGTTTGTGGGGGGCTGTGGGTGTGTGTGTATGTGGGATGTGGGGGAAAGTGTGGGGGTGTGTGTGGATGTGGATGGGTAGGTATGGTGATGGGTGTAACAGGGAACCTAGCCCTGTTACCAAGAAACAGGGTGGTCCCTTTAAATCCAGAACCTCCCAGGCACAGCCGACCGGTCGAGTAGGGGTTAAGTATCGAGCCCTGCTAGCTGATCCGGTGACAGGAAGGGGAAGGCCAGAACCATATAAACTGCAAGTGGAGAAGGCCAGAGAGGCAGACTCCCAATTACTATGGTGCAGCTGCAGCTGCAGCAGCCTCTTTGGAAAGAATATGCCACACTGTGAGACAGAAGCACAATCACATAAAGTAAGCGGGCACTTTGCCTCGCTTATTTCTTTATTATTATTTTCAATATATGGCCATAGGAACCTATGGTTTACATTTGATGTTAAAAATGCCAGTGGTTTGTGGCTAAGGCTGTAGGGGTGGAGAAGGCTCAAGAAGCCCTACTGCACTAGGGGTGCTGCACTAGGGCCACAAGCCCAAAGTTGCTTGAAAGGGACATAGGAGCCTTGAAGCCAGTTCCTAGTGAGTGGACTTAGGCAAAAGAAAGAGGGGCAAAGCCAAAGGGGGCTGAGGCCCCAAAAGTCTGGCACCACAGGGGCACACATTGCAGAAGGGACAGTAGGCCTGGTGTTGCGGAAAGCATGAAATGGAGGGCCTGGAGCCCAAGTGAATTAAAGAGCTAGAGCCTCGGAGTCGAGCCCCAATCAGTGGGTTTTGACTGACAGGCCTAGCTAGAGAGAGAGGGGGTAAGCCCACAGCGGCTGAGACCCCAACATAAAGAGAAATTTATAAAACCATCTGTGAGGCTCGGGGCATGTCAAAGGGGAGGTAGGAACATGCATTTTTGCCCTTATGGCAACACCTCATTATTCTATGGGTGGTGAGCCTAGAGCCTGTCTGAGAACCTGTGGCTCAGCCTCCATTTTTCTTTAGAACCAAGTAACATCGAGTTGTGGCAGGCAAATAAAGCGGGGGAAAGCTGATCCCCAGAGAAGAAAAATCCAGCAAGACTTGATGGGGGGGCACACTTACTGGCATATTTTTAAAAAAATGCAGCCGAAGACAGCCCCCTGTCACAGGGGGCTTGTGGGGGGTGTTTGTGGGGATGTGTGTGGGGGTATGGTGTTTGTGGGGGGCTTGGGGGGGGAGGGGGGCGGGGGGGGTGTGGAAGGGCAGGATGGCTTGGGGTGTGTGGGGTGTACGAGGGGAGGTGTGGGTCCATGTGTGTGGTGGGGTGTGTGCGTGTAGCGGTGAACGGGATTCCACCAGAGACGTGTGTGTGGGGGTGGGGTTATGTGTGGGCAGGGGGGTGGGGCTGTGGGGGAAGGGTGTGGTTGGGTGCAGTGTTTGTGGGTTGTGTGATTGTATGCGGGGGAGGGTGTGATTGTGGGGTTCGTAGGGAAGGGTTTGTGAGTATGGTGGGGTGTGCATGGGACCCCTGCACGTGCCCCCCTGAGTCGGTCAGCACCCGCCCCTGCAACAGCCTGTACATGCCAGGATGCCCTGCATTTGCTCTGTGCTGCCAGCACTGTGCTGCCACTGGGCAGCCCAAGCAGCATAGACACAGGGCAACCTGGACGCAGGCTCCAGGTGGCTGCATCAGGAACGGCCGGCAGTGGTGAGGGGGAGGGGCCACTTTTCCCTCGCGCTGAGCAACAGCTTCTATCCTGTGCTGCTGAGCCTGGGTGGGCAGGCCTGGAGCAGGTGTGGTGTGTGCAGTGTTGGATCTATGCAGTGTGTATCCCCATCGGTACTGCGGGGCTGGGGCCAGCAGCAGCTGGAAAGAGCTGCCATCACTTAGGCTACCTAGAAAGACAGTCCAGCTGCGGAGCCACCCCAACCCCACTGTGCTCAGGAGGGGTGGGGGGACAGGATGCGCTACAGCTGGATAATGACTGGGTCAGGCAGGAGAGAGGGACCCACAGTGGGCTGGAAAAAGACCTGCCATGGGCCAGATCAGCCTGTGGGCCATATTTTGCCCACCCCCGGCTTACAGCATCATTCTTGGAACTGGGCCAGATAAGAGGTGAGGTCAGAATTGATGCTGACAGATGTGAAAAAAAAACCCTGCGCTTTACTAAAAAACAAAGCATTAGTCCGCTCCAGCGTCAGGGGGGGTTTACATCTGTAAGCAGCCATTAAGTTTATATACAACACTCCTGCAGAAATACTGAGTTTTGGGGGACAACTGCCTGGATTTTTCTTGAGACAACCAGCATAAAAGAGTCAATGTGGTCCCTATTTTCAAGAAGGGGAAAAAGGATGATCTGGGTAACTATAGGCCAGTTAGCCTCACCTCTATCCTTGGAAAAACCTTTAAAAAATTATTAAGGATCACATTTGTGGGAGCCCAGTAGGAAAAAGAATGCTGAAGGGCAACAAGCATGGCTTCACAGCAGGTTGATCCTGCCTGACTAACCTTGTTTCTTTTTACGACCAGGTCACAAAATGCTTAGATGCAGGAATTGAGGCAGATGTCATCTATTTGGATTTTTAAAAGGCCTTTGATACAGTGTTGCATCCCATTCTTACAAACAAATTAAGTGGTTGTGACATAAATTATTATATGGTCAGGTGGGTAGAGAATTTGCTTACATGACACACACAGAAGTTGGTTTATGACCTGGAAAATGTGGGCAGTGGAGTTTCCCCCAAGGTTCGGTTCTTGAACCAGTGCTGTTCAATATCTTCATCAGCAACTTGGATGAGGGCATGGAAAACACTCTGTCCAAATTTGTGGATGACACCAAATTATGGGGCATAGTAAACACACTGGAGGGCAGGGAGCAGATTCAGGCAAAATTGAATAGATTGGGAAAGTGGGCAGAACAAAATAGGATGCAGTTTAACAAAGATTTGTGCAAAGTGCTGCATATAGGGAGGAAGAATCAACAACACAACTACAGACTGGGAGGTCACGTTCTAAGCAGCACAGCAGCAGAAAGGCATCTTGCAGTCATAGTCAACTCCAAAATGAACATCAGTCACCAATATAATGAAGTGATAAGTAAAGCCAACCACACACTTTCATGCATTAGAAGGTGCATCATGAACAGGTCTAAGGAGGTGATACTTCCCTCTATGCAACACTGGTGAGACTGCAGCTGGAGTACTGCATCCAGTTCTGGGCACTGCACTTCAAGAGGGATGTGGATAACCTTCAGAGGGTCCAAAGGAGGACTACTCATATGGTTAAGGGCCTGAAGGTAACATCCTACAAGGAGAGATTGAGGGACCTGAATCTCTTCAGCCTCCGCAAAAGAAGGCTGAGAGGGAATCTTGTGGCCATCTGCAAATTCATTTGGGGCAGGGGGGCAGAGCAGCAAGGAATAGGGGATACTCTGTTTACCAGGGTGCCTGTTGGGGTTACTAGGAACAATGGCCATAAACTGACAGAGAGCACATTTAGATTAGACATTACAAAAAATTTTTTATGGTGAGGGTTTGCCAAACCCTGGAATGGACTTCCAAGGGAGGTGGTGCTCTCCCCTACCTTGATGGCCTTTAAGAGGAGACTAGACAAGCACCTGGCTTGGGTCATCTGACCCCACTGGTCTTTCCTGTCCAGGGCAGGGGGTCGGATTTGATGATTTACTGAGGTCCCTTCCAACCCTAAAAATCTATTAAATCTATGAAAAGATGTGACTTGACATGCTTCTGCCGCCTTTTTTTGGTTTACAAGGTTAAATCGCCTAGACAGGTTTAAAAATCTCAAGATAAATTTAAAACAACTACCTCCTAAAAAATCCAAAATCAGGGAGGGAAAAAATCCAAATCAGTATTCCCCAATAAAGAAGCATGGACACCAAGATTCTAACAAAGAAGTGATAGTGTTGATAGCATCACAGATTATGTTAAACTTTTCCTTCTCCTATTAGTTTCATTGTCTGCTAGAACTGCTGCTACTTGCAAACAAGGGCCTGATTCTAAGCAGTGACATTGATGTGACTCCAGAATACCCACATTACCTCACTGATTGCTGATGAAAGTTCAGATTTTGTGTAGTTCATAGTTTCAAGGGGGAAATGAAGAGAGAAATACAGACAGTTCCTATGAACAAGTAACACAGTAAAAAACATTTTATCTACATCTTATGATAAGGGGTACAGTTCTAGTTGTACAATGAATTACTCTGGTGGGGATGAACTTAAGGTGGAAAAAAAGATTGTTGAGGCTACCCTGTAATATAAAACCAACAAAACAGATTTAAACCAAGAAAAGCATTTCAGTAATTTTCTGTATAGCAAATGAACTGCTACATGGAAAACCTAAAGGAAACTATAAACCATTATTATTAGCCTTTTTTTATTGACTGCCCCCACACCCAACTGTCTACTCATAATGATCCTCACTCATATAATATACTTTTTCTGTACTTTTATGTTGTTTAGCTTACCAGGTGTTCCAGACACACCACGTCTTCCTGGTGCTCCTGGTAACCCTGGTGTGCCTGGAGCCCCTGGTCTTCCTGGATTTGATTCAGCTCTTCCAGGGAGACCAGGGTCACCTTGAAAACCTGGATGGCCTTGTGCACCAGTCACTCCTGGTAGGCCAGGAAGGCCTGTAGGACAAATAATGAAGTAAGAACAGTATAGCATCATGATGAATATTTAGGAGTTGTGAAAAAGAAACAAGTGGGTAAACAAGACCTTCATGTGGAAAAGCCCCCATATGGAGGGCAAGAAAATCACATTCTCTGATGTTTACCCTGCAGAATTTTCAAAGCTCCAGAGGCAGGGCTGTCCAACATGCAGGTCCCTGCAGCCACCTTGCCCACTGGCACAGTCCGTGCAGCACGGGGCCATGCACTGTCAGTGCAGCTTGCACAGCAGGGGAGGGAAAGGAGGGAATTCCAAGGGCCTGCCCCTGCAGTGTAGGGCCCATTAAGTGTGTGGCTTAGCATGTGGTCTTCTGCTGTACTGAAAATGGACAGCCCTGCTTTAGAGGCATAAGACTTTGAGGCAGCTGAGGGGACAGGGGTATTCAAGGAGCAAGGGCTTGTTGTGATATCTTTTATTGGACCAACTGTATAGCTGGTGGAGATGCTGGCCAAGCTTTCAGACATAAAATACCCTTCTTCAGTTTAATGTCATAAAGCTTGTGCAAACCTCTCCCAACTATACAGTGGGTCTAATAAAAGATGTCATCAAAAAAAAACCCTTGCCTCCAATACTTTTCCTGAATGATCACAGCTACAATAACACTCCAACCCTACGGGGGCTATTCAAGCCTTTTTGCTCTCCAGGATTCATGGAAAATGGAAGCTCCCTCTCTTGTAGAGGACCTGTTCTCCTAGTGCCACCACTTTGCTCCTGCTGCCATTGTTTAATCCCACTGTATTTCCACTGAACCCATGTAAAGGAACAGCAAAGAGCAAGTTTATGTTAGCAGAGTCATTTGTGTTCTTGATTTGGCGGGTTATACTTCCACTAGCACAATAACAAGCCTGCCATGTAAAATAAAGCCTCCACTGCCTGGCTCCATCTCACATGCTACCCCATTCCAAAGCCACAGAGCCCAAACTATGTGGTGTTGGCTCTCAGGTGTTTGGGGGGCTGTTGAGAAGAGCAGTACAACACTTCTCTTGAAAGGTCTTTTCAATGCCATTTTATGGTAGAAGACCATTCAAGTCATACATAACATACTAATGCTTGTAAGCAAAGAAAAACAGACAGACCAAAAAAAGAGTTTAAATTAATCTTTACCTTTTAAAAACCTCAAACATTAGAAAGTATGAACTGTGCAGCTGAAGGATCCAGTGAATTCTCCACACTGCCATATAATCCTTCATCACTCAACCTCACACTGCCTCCTCAAAATTCAAGTTGCATTCTAAAATTATGCAAAGGCTAAAATAATAAAAGACTGCCCTGGCTTTGTGCTCACAGGTTCTACTGGCTGGTCAGTTAAGGACAGTACAGAGCTCACATATGATCACTTTCTGTTCTATGGCCTCTTACTTGCTCCATCTTCACCTGGTCTTCCTGGTGGGCCGGAAGGACCAGCTGGTCCATCTGACCCAACTTCTCCATCAGGACCTGGAAATCCCGGGTCTCCTCGAGGACCTATATGAAATCATAGGAAGTGGTGATTTAATACTTTATGTTTATGGTCTGGGAACCTTCATAATTAAAAGACATCCCCATTTCTTTAGTCTGTATTACACCATTTTAATATAAATTAATTAAATTTTAAAAGGTGATGAGACTTTAGTTACTTATAGGAACATAACTGTCTTACTGGGTCAGACCAGAGGCCCATCTAGCCCAGTATCATATATGTTACGGTTGCAGAGAATGGATACTACAGGGAAGAATACAGATGCAGGGCTTAGCTAGAGACTATTTGCCTTGCCCTTTTCCCTTACCATTTACAGGTAGCTTTAAGTTTAAATTCCACTTAATCCCATGTCTAAAATTATATAAAAGAATAAATATTCAGAGACCTGATCTGAAAGTCCATTGACATTAATCAAATAAAGGGCAACTGAATAGAGATGCTTTGTTGAATTCAGGCCTCAGCTGTGAGCTGCTGTGTGTAAATAAGAGCAGAATATATTCCCACTGTATATGCAGTATGCTAATTCTTTGTTACAGTGTTTCTGTTTCAATAGCATTCACATGTTAGATGTGATCATTTTAGCTGCTAATGATAATATTGCATTATGCTTTTGAAAGCTTAAAATTTGTTACAAGCTTGCACACCATAAAACCACACTAAGGTACAATAAACAATTTTTGGAATTTATATTCATCTGATGCAGCTTTAAAAGCTAATGAAACCATGGGGGTGAAATCTTGGCCTACAGAAGTTTTGTCATTGACTTCAAAAAGACTACAATTTCTGTCTCAGACATGAGCTGCAGGCTTCAACTGAAGCCTAGCCTACTGTCTGTGCTGCAGTAATTCTATATATGAGACTTCTGCAACATTAAAGGAAACCTTGCCTGCTTATATCCATTCCAGTACTCACAGGGGCCTTCTTCTTATGGCTATGTTCTGAATAGGCTTAAATCAAGAACTAAGTCAGCAGATCTGGGTGAGCTTGTGTGCACACATAGGTTTGCAAACAGTTGCTGCATTTACTCACAAACCATTCACATCTTTTCCACAAAAATTATCCCTCCAAAACTGGGGTGCGTGTTTTAATAATTGAAGCTGATTTCTATGCCAAAATAGAGGCATGGGGATGCTGAAATGGCTGCCACAGCTGCTCTGTGATGGGCATCCAAGAAGTCAGAGCCCACTCATCGCTCAATGTCTCTTTACAGCTAAAGTTTTAACCTTGTCCCAGCTGCTGCCAAATTGACTGCTCAGCCAAAAACCACTGCCAATTTGACAGTGGCTGTACAGGGTTAAAGCTTTAGCTCAAGGAGAGAGAGTGATGCTCAAAAAGAGACTGCATGCCTGCTCCATGAGGCCTGCATTCAGCCATGACTCTGGAAAAATCTTTTGTCTTCATTTTGCCTTCTCAAAACAATGTGCGTGTCTTATTTGTGGGGACTTTGTGCATGAAAATATGGTATTTTGTGTATAATGCATGTCAAGAGACATATCTCATCTTCCCATACCTCCAGGGCAATAACCACTGATATTTATAGGTGTAAGTAAAGAGAGTGTGGCCAGTTGGGACTTGGTGGTCTCAGGTGCAGAGCACCCTCAACTCCCACTGACTACTCCAGCACATTAGGTAATTGGGTACAATCTATCTCATACAATAGGAAGAGAAGTTCAAAGCAAATGAAACCTTTCACAGGCAAAAGTGGTGTTCCATAAGAAACAGGCAGGCCTGGTAGCCCTTGTTCTCCACGATCTCCCTGTAAGAATTCAATGATTCAGTTTATTGATAAACACCAGTGCACAATGCAGCAGCTCATAATTAAGGGGTAGCTAAGTATCTACAAATAGGTAGACTTTGTCACAGCCCTTAAAATCTTAAAAGCTAATTTTAACGTGATGGGTCAAGGAAGGATGAAGGTTACAGCACCACGGTCACATGTTTACTTAGATGGTAGCCTCTCTGGGGCAGATACCAGCTTTCTGTTCCATGTTTGTAAACTTCCAGTACAGTAGGGTCTTGCCCCATGACTTGGGGCTCCTTGGTGCCATAACAATACAAATAACAGTAAGAAGTGGCTCAAGGTAGATAGGTAAACTCTGTTTCCTCTGTGTCCTCACTTGTGAACACTGAGGAAGGAATAGATCTTAAATATTTTTGAAAGGGGAAAGGGTATCAGCTTGATACTTGTGAGAATTATCTTAGCTGACCAAAACATGCAGACTGTTGAGCTTTTATTTTTTACCTTCATGCCTGAATAGCCAGCCTGGCCAGGAGCACCAGGAAATCCTGTTCTTCCCTGAAATTAATTAGAAAATAACTATGAATTGATTCATAGTTGATTGATCATTTTGTAGTTTAAGTTTTAATAGAAATTAGCTGCTGTATCACACTACACAATACCATCATCTTTTAATAGTATTGGTAGTTTGTCTCATAGAACTTTTATATATATATTTTAAAGGACCTCTTTTGTTTAACAAAAGGTGACCTTTCTGATATTCACCTATTTACTGGAACAGTGTCTAAGGATACTTTGGGTGAATCAGAGAGTAAGCTAGTCAACAGATTCCTTATTTTAATTTAAATGGAATTGGCTGGCTGGTTGCTGACTGATCCATTGAACAGCCATCAGTGAATGGGAAGCATCCGTCTTTCAACTCTAATTAGGGCAGTAGCACCTTAGTTCCTTTTCAGTTTAATGGACAGATTTACCCACAAGGCTTCAATACCTGCTTGGGTGGAGCAGTAGATAAAGGTTGGGAATGAAGATAAAACAATCACATTAGGCATAAAATTCAGATGTGAATTATTTGCACACTAGTGCAATTGACAATTAATGTAACTATGACCTCAACTAGAATTATAAAACAACTAGGGAGTGAGATAGGAAATGTATATTTTTTATTTGCTGTGGTGCTACAGATTCAGAATGCAGCTTTACAGAGGATAGTACTGGAAAATAGTATCTCATGAGTCAGAAGGCTATGAACTGCATCACATGCAGGGCCAGGGAGGTGATCCTTCCCCTCTATGTGGCATTGGTCAGGCCACAGTTGGAGTACTGCATCCAGTTCTGGGTGCCGCACTTCAACAGGGATGTGGCTAACCTTGAAAGGGTCCAGAGGAGGGCTACTCACATGGTCAGGGGGCAGCAAGGCAGGCCCTACGAAGATAGACTAAAGGGCCTGAATCTATTCAGACTTCACAAGGAAAGACTGAAAGGGGATCTGGTGGCTGTCTATAAACTCACCGGGCGAACAGCAGAAAACAGGTGAGGCTCTGTTCCCCCAGGCACCACCTGGGATAACAAGGAATACCAGCCACAAATTGACTGAGAGCAGGTTCAGCCTTGATATCAGGAGGCATTACTTTACTGTTAGGGCTGCCGGGCTCTGGAATGGGCTCCCAAGGGAGGTGGTGCTCTCCCCTACCTTGGGGGTCTTCAAGAGGAGGTTGAATAGATATCTGGCTGGATTAAGATCCCAGCATTTGGTCCTGCCCAGGGCAGGGGGTTGGACTTGATCTGTTCAGGTCCCTTCCACCCTAGAAATTATGAAACTGTAAAAATAAACTACATGGAAAGTAAGTTAGCAACACACCTGCCCTATCAGGGCAAATTTTTTTATTGTATATTTTCCTACCTTTCTTCCTACGGAACCTTGAGATCCAGGAGAACCAGGAAAACCCTATTGAAAGCAAGTAGAAAGCAATAAAAATTGTCCAAGTACTTTAAGTACTTCCAACTTATTTAATTTGTAACAGTCTTTCTTATGTATATTTCAGTTGACAAACAATTGATTTGCTATAATATTCCACAACACCTACTACCAACACTATTTGTAAATACTTGTAATAGAGATGGCTATAACCTTAAATCCTAGAAAAAGGCAAATTAAATAGGGCTTGATTCTAATTTTGCCATACTGCATTATAAAAGTGCCTTGGAAAGGTTATACAAATCAAGTGCAGAGTTCTGCTAATGCATTGTAACTTCATCCATTTAACACTACTATTCAGAGTAGCAACTATTTTGTCCAGAAGTAAATGTTCACCAGATCAAACCCTAACTATGTTGTTTTGAGGAGGCATAAAATTCATAATGGGTTTAGGTTTGATCCTGGGACACTTGACTACCCTGTTCTATGAACCAACATATTCTATATGCAAAATAATTAATATTAGTTTAAAGCAACTACAAATCCTATTTGAAATGTTCTTTAATATTTAACTCCCAAGTATTTTATAAACTAATTATTGTGAACGATTGAAGTGTTTTTTTCTGAAATTTCCTTACCCTTATTCCAGGGACTCCAGGAATTCCTTTCTCTCCTTTTTCCCCAATTCCAGGTGCACCCTATTACCATTTAAAGCACTTTGTTTACATAGATTACTCATAAAAAAAAAATACAGAATTTACAATACGTGCATTTTCCAAACAAAAGAAAAAAAATCAGGTCAGGATTTCATCTACAGATATGGGTTAAGGCCAAACACTTTGGAATAACTTGACATCCCATCATGCCCAAGGTCTACTTAGCCTGATTTATCCATGGACAGATTTAACTGCTCTTGCTCTCTACTTACTTTCTCAATTTTTTTTATTGTGCCTTCAAAGAGGTTCTGTCTAGTTCTAATTAATATTTTGACATTAAAATTCTTTTTTATAACATGTATTCACTATAAACAAACAGGAAAGAGGAGGATTAGTTATGCTCCTGTTTACAAGGAAGGATAACAAGCAACAAACACATACACAAACTCTTTTTCACTATATTCCCTTACTCTGAATCCCTTCTTTTCCCCACAAAAGAGCCTTACTGCCTCTCCATCCAGGCGATCCCATAGCCTTCTGCCTGTGGAGTAATTTTTAGAAAACCTAGATGGAATTAGTGATGCCAACTCCCCTCCTGGCTGTTACTGCACAGAAGCATGGAACTCTTCTGCAGGCAGAACAACTGCTGGAGGAGCCACAGGTGTGCAAGAGCTGAGAGAGGCAAACCTGGAGCATGCTGTCCTGTCTACTTCCTTGCTTGGTAATGGACTGCCTGAACGTCTGATTCTTTTTTTTTTTCTTTTTCACAGCCCTACTCATTAGAAGCCTACAGTTGTGGTTCAGTGGTAGACTGAATCAGATTCCCAGATGTGTATATAACTACAGCCATTCAGGCACTGAATGTCTGGACTCAGTCTGGCCTTTGGATACTGTCTCAATGGTCTACAAGTGGGGATGGAAGGTCTGAGCAGCATCCACTTCCAATACAACTGCCTAGGTGTATGCGTTGAAGGTTCTGGTGACCTCTCGTGCATACCCCACGATCCAGAAAGATCAAAGGTTGCTGCTGACTACTACTACTCACCAAAATGCCACCTTTTTAAAGGAAATAAGATTGAACTTTTCATGAGGGATAGCATCTGACAGTCAGTTATAAAAGGAATTTTACAAGAGAGATTTTCCAGAGGATTCATGAGAATTTCCATTTTCATTTAGGTGGTATTTAAATTCCATGGTTAAAATACTATATTATTTTGCAAGTCATTCTTTCCTTGTAAAGTTTTTTTTTCAGTAACAAAAAAGCTAAGAGAACTCTGAGAGCATCATACAGAAAATTGAACAAAGTATGCTAAAATACATGCTTTCTTTCATACTTACTTTTGGTCCCCGCAATCCGTTAGGTCCTATCACTCCAGTCATTCCTTTTTGACCCTAAATATAAATATGGAGAAGCTGTTCATTTTAGTGTGAAAAACATACTTTGACATAGTGTATAATAATAATAGCCTTATTATAACTCTTTGACATATTATTCTGAGTAAAACCAATGTAAGAACAGCACCTTCTTACTCATTAGGATTTCTCCATGTGTGTGTCTTGTCACAGAAGCTTAGGTTAGTGACAAAATTGCTATATTTCCCTTTATTCCAATTAATATTGCAGAACCAACAAAGCAATTGGTTAATAACATGAGTCCTATGCCTTCTCTCACATAGTCAAAAGAACTGTTAACTAAAGCCTTGAACCTGCAAATACACACCAGTAGTCCTACTGATTTAAATACAATATGTATGCCTAAATGTTTGTAGGATAAAATCCTAAGAACTAACTGCAACCCTCAATGAGTTCCCCAGAATCTTTGCTGGGAAGAGTGGCATATAAATAGAATCAATCAATAAAATAAGATGCAATTTAGATATTATTCAATATCTTCATCAGCAATTTGAACGAGGGTGTGGAGAGCACCCTCTCCAAGTTTGCTGATGATACCAAGTTATGGGGCAAAGTTAGTACACAGGAAGGCAGGGAGCAGATTCAGGCTGACCTGGACAGGTTGGATCACTGGGCAGAGAGAAATAAGATGCAATTTAATAAAGATAAATGTACGATACTCCACCTGGGAAGGAGGAACCCCCAGCTCAGCAGCTCAGAGGCAGAGAGGGATCTTGGAGTCATAATTGACTCCAAGATGCACATGAGCCGGCAGTGTAATGAGGCCATCAACAAGGCCAATCGCACCTTGTCGTGCATTAGCAGGTGCATGACTAATAGATCAAAGGAGGTGATGCTCCCCCTCTATGCGGCACTGGTCAGGCCGCAGTTGGAGTACTGTGTCCAGTTTTGAGTGCCGCACTTCAGGAGGGACGCGGAGAATCTGGAGAGGGTCCAGAGGAGGGCCACTCGCATGATTAGTGGCCTTCATGATAGACCCTATGGGGGGAGGTTGAGAGAGCTGAATCTCTTCAGCCTTCACAAGAGACGGCTGAGGGGAGATCTTGTGGCCACCTATAAATTTATTAGGGGAGGTCAACGGAGAATAGGGGAAGCGCTATTTACTAAGGCACCCCAGGGAGTGACTAGGAATAACGGGTGTAAACTAGTTGAGAGTGGATTTAGGTTAGATATTAGGAAGAAATTTTTCACAGTAAGGGTGGCCAGGATCTGGAATGGGCTTCCAAGAGAGGTGGTGCTATCACCTAGCTTGGAGGTCTTCAAGAGGAGGCTAGATAGTCACGTGGCTGGGGTCATCTGACCTCGGTCCTCTTTTCTGCCAGGGGCAGGGGGTCGGACACGATGATCCATTGTGGTCCCTTCTGAGACTACAATCTATGAATCTATGCAACCATGGATGAATTTGGCGCAAAGAATCAGTCAATCTGTATCAATCTGTATCAGAGCTCGCCCACATGGAGTCTGCAGAACAGGCAGTTAGATTTATCTTTTCATTTGTATATTGAGTGAGCCTGAGAATTGCTGAGAATGTGATACAGGACTCCACAATGTCATTTTTACAATTGCTTTATAGAGCACCATATTTTAAATGCCTTAGGATTTACAGCAGAAAACAGTCCATGACCCTGTTACTAGGTTTACTCTATCCATTTTGACTACAGTTATGGCTATAGCAGATCTGTCATGGAAGAATTATTGTAATTAAGAAGATGATTTCATATTCAAAAACTGATGCTAGGACCACATATATTTCCATATGTAATTCAGTGAGCCAGGTGGCTGATATTTCAACATAACTTCAGCTGAGTTTGAGGCTTGTTGAAGAAAACCAATATCTCCCAAAAAGGATAACAGGCTAATACAGAAGTTCTAAATGGACTACTGTGAATTGTTAGGAAAGAGTCAGTGTCACAGATGATGCCTTGTTTGAGACGGCTCAGTCTTTTAACAAGTTTATGATAATGAGTACAAACTCAACCCAGATTTCAAACAGGACTGTAATTTTTCAGTGGTGAAGTACAGAATACAGAAGTGGGAATAACCTCGTTAAAGAACACAGGTAAATAAAAAAGAGCCCTTGAATAGTGAAGGGCAAGAAGAAGGGCAAATAGGACAGATCCACTCAGATGAGGGAAATGCACTACAGCAGAATCTGACCTGGCTCCTGTCTGCCTGAAGCTAGGGTGCTAGATAACAGGATTTCTACTGATGATGTTAGGATATCACACCATAAAGCAAATGTACTTATTTTATTATGCAACCCATATCGAAACTTTGTAATAGGATAGTGCTTGCAGTGAACTGATATTCTGAATATAATCCTACAAACAAGTGGATTTTAATTTACACACCTTTTCTCCTTTCATCAGCATGGCACCTGGAGGGCCAACTAACAGTGGCTGTCCTGGAGGCCCAGGAGATCCAACATCACCCTACAGAAGTCAGAGAAACAACCAGACATCCTGTTCACCAAGCCAACTCAGTAAGAAGCTGGGATACCTATTTATATTTACAGCACTAACATATTTTTACACTCATTGAACAAATGCCTTCTACTCCTATTTGCAGGTAAACAGGACTTTGCAATGAGGCCTGTCCATATATTCGCAAACTTTTGATAGAAGGAAGATAAATCTCTTTATATCTACTCAATATTACAGAACAGCTGAAGGAAAGATAAGGAGATATTTCTACCCCTTTCTTTTCTTTTTTCCCTGCCACTCATGAAAATAATCTTGTGCTTAAATAACGTAAGTAAACAAAAGAAAGCCCGGTAAGCCTGGGTCCTGCTCCCATTTGTTGACATAGTTCTTTTGCTTAAGTGAGATAAGTCTTTTCTAGGGCTGTGGTCTTGGGATTGACTGCTACATGGATACAAAGTGCCATTAAACCCAGAACAGCAGGTCTGAGTTGGGTGTAATGGAGCTCATGTACCAATGCAGGTGAATCAACTGGCTGGTAGGAGTATGGAAACACAGATGGTGGAGAGCAAGACTTTTATTTCTTAAGGGACTGTTCTTCAGCCCTTAGGAGACTTGTACCAAATGCACATGTTGTCTGACTCAGGGAAGAACAGGCCTTCAGGGCTTCTTTTTGCTTACTCATTGTCTTCTTTCAGGACAAACAATTCTGCTCAGCAGAGCTGCACTTCTTGTTTGACCTAAGGAAAATCCCTCTTTATTTCCAAGCTGCCCACTTCATTTAGCTCCAGAAATGAAGGTGTATCTAAAAAAAAGGAAGGCTCTGAGAAGTAGGGAAGTAAGGTATGAACATAGCCTGAGGGGTCAAGTCCCCCATGACTTGCAGGAGTGCCATCAAGCATGCAGCACTGCTCTGCATAGGCTGTCTGCTAAATCTGTAGTTGTTCAACATAGGCTAATTAGCACTACTGAATGACAGTACCAATTAGCCCAAGTAAAAGTTCCACATCAAATATTCAATATTTTTAAAAAAACCCTAACCCATAAATACATCTAATTCCTGTGCCCAGTTTATCAAAGAGAATCCATTCCATGTTAAAGGTAGTAACGCAGGATGTGATGTTATTTTCCCTTCAGTGGCAGCATGAGGCCACACACTATGGTCCATGAGGGTTGTGGGCCTCAAGTGTGGTTAGTATCTGAAACACCATGATGATAGGAACACGTTGTTTATTAGACCTAATATAGGTCTAATATATGGGTGACACGTCCTTAAGCTTGCATACATCAAAGTGTTCAACATGCAATCAGTAAACAGGTACTAGTATTAGGCTAGCCCAGGTGTGGATAACTGCTTTCTTAGAGAAAGCAATAGTAGTTAAAGCAACTGTTTTTTTGAAAGGCACTAAAAGTAAAAACTCCCTGAGGTTTTATCTTTTGATAAGATCTGAATTATGCTGGATTCTACTTAGCTAATAAAAGTCTATAGTTAGTCCTAGAGTGAAGCCACTCTTCATGCCATTATTTGTTTGCTCACCAATTCCCCTTTCTGTCCATCAACTCCAATGCCTGGATTTCCCTGATAGGAAAAAAAGCAAAAATATGCATGCAAAGTGAAGACAACCAGGAAAATGCATGCATAATAACTCAATAAAAAGACATTTTTTTGAAAACTCTGCTAACAGAAATAATCATAAACAACATTTTAAAGTTTAGCATAAATATAAATTTCACTGAGACTGTACAAACTCTATGAAAAAATGCCCACCTGTTCACCTGGCAAACCAGGGTGGCCTGGAGCGCCCTTTAAAGAAAGAGTTAGAAAAGTTAATATTTTGATTTGAAGCCCAAGCTTGGAAAATGTTCCAAAGCTGCCCCTTCCTAGGGATAACACCTGGAAGCAGGATTTTTCCCAGCATACACTTAGGGCATGTTCCTGCTGGCTCACCTCCCTTGGGGTCCTATTTCCTCAGCCTTCTCTTCCCAGGTAACCTGTACTGGTCAATTAGTGAAATGAGCTCTGGCTCCACCACTTCCCTGCCTTCCCCCAGGGTCTCATGTGAATCTGAGGGAGGGGAGTAGGGAGAGAACATTGGCAGCGTTCCTCTGTGGCCCTGAGCTGGAATTCTGCCATGACATGACTCGCATGCACACAAGTTTAGCCCTCATTCCTACTCTGCAGGTTTATGTAAGCAGTAGGCAGAATCTAGCACTTTTAATGAATTTCCTCATAAGAAATGGCTAGACTTGAATATACATCTGGGTGAGCTTCTAGATAAATGGACAGTAGCTTATATATATCTTCAAAATACAATGCTGCATAACTGTCACTCTTACCTGCAAGCCTGGCTGGCCGTGATATCCATGTGGGCCCACTGCTCCCCTTGCACCCCTAGATCCCTGAGAAAAAGAGCAAAAGGTGAATGTGTTTGTGAAACCCCCTATATCTTGACTTTTCCCCAAAACAAACTTACCTGGCAAACCAAAACCAAATCAAATAAAAAAACCCCAAAACCGAAAAATATATCTTTAAGTGGTAGAAGGTACTTACAGGTACACCAGCGGCTCCTGGATCACCTCTGTCTCCCTGTAATTGCAACCATTTTGGTAAGTAAAGGATCACACTTTTGCTTTCTTGTATTTGTTTTTCAAAACTACTTGCTATATCCTTGTTTTATAATCAATAGATGATTTCACTGAATAGAAAAGTAATTTCAATACTGTTAAGGTTTTGACTGAAAAAAGAAATTTAGCACTGAGATAAACTTCCAAATATAGACTCATACATGGGTGGTATAAGTAACTTCCAGACAATAGGCAAAATTGATTTTCTAATATTTTCTAATTTTTAGTGTTTTAAGGGAAAAAACTCCTAAAACAGATGACTTCAGATATGTGTGCACCCAAAGATCTTGTAAGTACAACTGGAAACAAAAAATTACAGTAATTCTCTGATTGATATATTAAACCTGCATATAAGTTGATCATATATTTTCAGGTTCAATATTAAACAAAGCAGCCCCCCAAAATTTGTAGAATTTTCAATTTATTGTTAAATGTGAATTTAATATTTAATATTAACTTTGACCCCCAACATCTTATAGCTGTGGGAACTTCCTGACTTCGATGGCTTTAAAATCTTAATCTGTACCATGCCATCTATCTATATTTTCATTTATGTTCTTTATTAAAAAAGAGACCCAGTATAATGCGCTTTTCAAAACAATGAGGAATGATTAGAACAATTTTAATCACTATACATGTATTCCTGCATGTTACAATTATTTCCACAATAATATACTTACTGGATCACCCCTCCTGAAATGTGAAACATACACAGACATTCCTTTTTCTCCTTTTTGTCCAAAATAGCCCTGAATAATTCATCAAAAATTAAAATAAAAAATGAGATTATGTTCTGGAGTAGGATATAACAATATATCATATAATATGGTCTGTTTACTGATACAGTAGAATTTCACTGATTAATTTCTTAGGTTTGATTACATCAATGCTCTCTGCGTATCCCAACCATATTTAATTTTGATTGGTACACTGGTTACAAACCACAGAAACAGATATATGCTGTGGCACTTATTCTTTACTTTTTCCTTGTGAGAAATCAAAAAACACCCTGGGTGGAATCCTATCCCAGATAAAGTCCATGAGAGTTTTGTTATGAACTTTAAAGGAGCCAACATATCTGTGTCCACAGAATACATGGAACTCAAATACCCAGTAACTGTACTCAGTGAACCCCAGCATTGTAGTCTTACACTGATCCTTCACAGCTTAAGCAACTGAATGGGAAAAGTACTTATCACTAAAATGCTGCAATAAACTGAACAGTTGGCTATAGCTAGAGGGAGCTGCAGCAGACAGGATGTAGATAACAGGTCAAAGAGAGGCTGCACTGGAAGTCTCAATGAAACCTGTATCTAGCTGCCTTTGCTGCAGCCATGTCTCTTGACAAATTTCATATTTGATTTCTTTTTACAAGAAGATATGTTCTTATTAAATTAATCTTGTTTCTTCTAAATTTCTCAAGCAAGGGTAATATGTATTATAACACTAGGTAATAGAAATATAGCTACTATTAAATATTATATAAAAATCCCAATAGTATAATATGCTCCCTGCTACATGTTACATACATTGCTCAATTAGCTGGTCAGTCTCCCAATACATGTAGACAGACCACATATGCAAAGCAATTATCAGACAATACAAATAACTATCTAGCTATACAAAGAGTCAACTAGTTATAAAGTTAGTGCTTGAAAATGTGTAACAACTCTGTAGCTGGTTTCTATCCAGCTTTAATTTGAATTAATAGCAGGGCCCTAAATAATATAAAACTGAAGCATGAAGAATGTATCTAAAATCAGTTATATACATATGTATATAGTATATACACTAAATGATACAGGAAAAATTTGTAAACAGAAAGTAACATAAAGACATTAACAGTCCATTGTGATACTGGTACTAGGTAATCAGAACAGTATTTGGTGCAGCAAATCAATCTGTAAACAGGTGAGCCAATCTCTACACAGACCCGGGAGTGACATTGTACACAAGGAGATAATTATTTGTGGAGACTCCATTTTGTTTCCTTGGAAAACCAAATTCATGAATATTGGTGTTTTAGTCTGAATCCAAGCTTCTCTGTTATTTAAATTCTTTTATGGACTGCAAGTAATAGATTTGTTAATCCCTTTGTTCATTGAGACAGTGGCATATAGGTTATAATTTATGTCAAATCTTGGGTTTGGTTTTGTGTGTGTTATCCACCGACTTCTTACATGTGAAACTCTATTTTCTGAGCCACAGTATAGTGAATGATTTCCCAGGCTGAAGAGAAGTCACGAAAGTATAAAGGAGCTGTAGTTCAATCTATTACTTTTTTTATCAACTGTATTGATGGTATATTGCAGCTTAAAGCAATTATGCAAACATAAATACAGGATTTCTTCATGGATGTGTTTTGATCATGTTTTATCACTGCCTTATTCTTTGAATACTGTTTGTTTTCCTCTAAGGCCTGATTCAGTAAATATTTTTGCTTCAGATGTGTGTCAAAATCTAGCACAAGATCCAGAATTTCTATTGTTTCATTTAATATATAATTTCATTTTGAAAGTGTTAGGACAGCTCTTAAAACACTTAACAAGTTACTGATCATTCCAAGTGAAAACTTGGTCCTGCAGAAGGTCAGGTGTGGGCCAGATTCACAGGTGGTGTAATCCTGCATCTTTCCAGTGGAGTCACTGAAGCTATCCCAGTTTACATCACATACGCAGCTAGTGTTGAGATTTGATCTTCATTCAGAAACCTCAATATGTGAATAATGTTAATATACTTTCTTCTTTAAGACAGAAAAGCTAAAATCTGAGTGGTAATTTTAAATATTTAAATTTAAAAATAATAATGCCACTGAACCAGACTGTGGCTGACTACTAGGTGCACAGGGCATTCATGGGGGTGTTTCTGTGGCAGGCACCCTGCTCTGCATAATGAGTGGACACAACTCCAGTCCCTAATGCTGGGTAGTTGTTGTACCACAGAGTGTCTTAATTTTATAATGCCTGTGATCAACTACTAAAAACTTCATTTTAAAGCTAACAGAATCTAGGCCCGTTGAAACTTCCACTTCATACCGTACCCTCCTGATATCATTCCAACTATTACAGTTCAAGATTCCAAACGCTGACAAATTGTGTAGTGGTTTTGAACAAACTCTCCTCTTGATAATATCACTGTAACTCTGGAGTAATTTCATGACTATGGTTATTCAAGATGTACGCCATGTGAATGAGGGCAGAATTTGGCTACTTGAATTGTGGATAAACACACATTAAGGAATAACAACCTTAATTTCATACTCTACCAAGACCTGGCCTTGAAAGGCACAGATTGCCCAGCGCACAATCAAGTTCATTAACAATAACACAAGATGTGGTGTGGTAACAGACCCTAAATCAAGATATGAACTCAGGCACCCAGTACCACAGACCAATGCCTCCAATTTTAAAATGTGTTGGCAGATGAGAAAGTATAAATACACAATTAATAAAATATTATAACTTACAGGTGGGCCTCTAGGTCCGATATATCCTTTCCCCCCTGGAAATCCTGGATCTCCTCTTGAACCATTGGAACCATCCAAGCCAGGTTTGCCCCTATGTCCTCCAACTCCAAGTAACCCCTAAAGAGAGTTTAATTTATATGCAAGTACATTACCTTATTATTAAAGTACAGTTTTTCACACAATGCAGACTGGTAATCCCAGACTGTGGCAGAGGACCACACATCTAAGCTTCAATTCTATATTCCTTACACTAGGAAAATGGCCCACTGTGATTTTTCCTGCATACAGCAAGAAATATACAATCGGGCCCAAGTACATGCCATGTCTTTTCACCAGTTTCATAGTAGAAACCCTGGCATTTACATAAGACCATTTGTGCACAAAGCTGTGACTAGCTGCACCTTAATTCTGAAGGATGAAATTCTGAAGTCCTTATTCTAGCAAAACTCTGACTTATTTTGGTGGAATTTTTATCTGACTAAGCCATGCAGAACAAGGACCAATATTTTTTTTTCAGCAGAAAGGATAAAGTAATTCAGGATCCCTTTTGCTAGTTTCAAAATACATTGAGACAAATATACAAAGCCTGGAAACAGGAACTTCTGCTTTTTACCCCTGCTTGCTGCTTGGATTTGTGCAGGTCTCACTTATCTGCTCTGCTTTTATCTCTTTTCTGTAAAATAGACATAATAGTATGTACTTATCTCAGAGAGGTGCTGTGATTTCTAATTATCTTGTTTGTATTATGATTTGAAAAATATGTAGTCTTAAATATGTATGGAGTACTATTATCCATAATAAATGTCATAATAGTTCATCTTGTTCTTTACAGGTTTACCAAATAAGTGATTATTTGGAAGATGCAATAACAATAGACAGGAAATGTATTATATCAAGTTTAGTAAAGCATTCTGTTAAAATATTAGTTTTAGATTAATTGTAATCTGTATACAGCAAAAGTAAACTTACAGGCAGGCCATCTAAACCAGGAAAGCCTGGGACTCCTGTGGGGCCCTAAAAATGGGGCATCAAAAAAAACCTGTTAAAGTCCTTAACTCTTAAAAGCAGTGAACATCATAAGGTTGTGATATTGCAAACTGATGTTGTAAGTTGCCACATATGAAACATAACTCTAAGGTCCCTGGCACATGCTCATTTAATGGCACGATGGGATCTGATCCCTGATCCCAACAATTACACCTTCTGCCATGACTTAAATTGGGTGCACCTATAACACCCTGTCCACGTATTCCCTAATTAACACCTTAATCATGGGATAGATGTAAAGTGTAGTGAGGGCCTAACACCTCCACACAGCAAGGTAAACATCTGATAAAATGTGGGAAATTCAACATGAGCTTGTTTGGCAAATATATCTGAAAGAACTATTGCCAATAGCCATGCATGCCTTAGATGGTACTGGAGGACAATATCAAATTTGTAGGACCAGATTAACTCACTGAGGCCTATGGAATTGTATAGAAGATGAATTTGGCTATATAATATTCCATTTCATATCATAAGTCTGTGTCTGCTCCCCATGAAGTCAAAGACTTTCAGTGATTCTAGAAGGAACAGGTTCAGGCTCTATATACCACAAGTAGCGAAATTCAGATCTTATATTGGGCTCAATCATATAAAGCTCCAATAAAGCCAACAGAATTTAATCAATTAAAGCCAGACGAAAATGTCAAGAGTCAAGACCAAGGACTGAAGGACTTTGAAAAATGACTTACTGACAAAAGGTGGTGTTTATGATGGTATCACTTACCATAACCAATTATGATAGAGTTACATCTCTTGTACAGTATTATCCCCACGGAACCTTAACTCTTGTCAGTGTTAATAAAAGTTACATGGGACACATCAGAGACCCAATCTCTTAATCACTGAAACATAGGGTTTGAAGGGACCTCAAAGGTCATCTAGCCCAACCCCTTGCACAAATGCCAGAATGCTACTTCTAAAGCAGCCCTGCCCAGTGCCTACCCCCACCTTTTTTTTTTGTAAAAGCCCCAATAAAGCAGATTCTACAACTTCCCTGGGCAGCCTGTTCCACTGCCTTTCCATCCTAACAGTAAAGAAGATTTTCTTTTTTCCCCCCCAACAGCATTAATTTAATAACCTAGAACTACATTTCAGGCAAAACTACAACTGACTTGGATGGAAATTTTGCTTGAGAGGTGACATGAGTTGGTTATATAACTTAAACATTTAGTAATGGTTTTTATCATTCTAGTTTGGTGGTACTTTGCAACATATTGTATATATTGAAAATGAGTTCCCTAGAGTATTTCTTACCTTATCACCTTTTTCTCCAGCTGGCCCAAGCAGCCCATTCTCACCTCTCTGTCCCTTTTCTCCTGGCAAACCAACTGGTCCTGTAAGCCCCAAAGGCCCAATTGGACCCTGAGACCCTAATTCACCAGGTTGACCCTGAAATGAAACCAAAAGATGTTATTTGGATGTAGTACAATGCCTAAATAAACACAGTAAACCTCCTCCCAGAGTTATAGAAGATGCTGGGGCAAACAAATTTGTATTATGTATAAAATGGAAGTTTAGGGATATCATATACTCTCTATACGTCTCAGTGACTCTGAAAAATGATTTGATAGTGACTTTACTTCAAAGACTAAGCCCTATTGGTGTTTCAATTACTGTGATATGCACTAGAACACTGGTTGCTTTTTGTAGTTTTTGAATGTCTGTAGAGGTAGATAAAAGATATAAAAGTTTAGAAGTATTAATGGGGCATGAGACTTATAACCTGATATTAGACTCTTATCCCACTAGACACATTTGAACAGTTTTATAATTTCTATAATTAAGAAGTCTATTTTCTGTAAAACAAACCATGTAAATGTAAATGGAATAGTTGGGATTTTCCTAAAAATATCCCATAAAGGGGGTCATCTGTTCTTTTTTAATCTTCTGTTGATGTTGAAGGTTCTTTACAGCAAGGTAGAAACTGCCTGACTATACAGGAGAAACAGTAGAAATATATGAATTGCCGACAAATGCACAAAGTAAAAAACCTGAAAATATAGAATCATAGAATCGTATAGTCCAGCCCCATGCCTGAGGCAGGATCACCCCCTTCCAAACCATGCCATACAGATCCTTGTCTAACCTATTAGTAAAACTATACGATGAAGCCTATCCCAAATTTACAAGGCATAGCACCCTGAGATGCCACAGGTAAAACAAGAGGATATGTTGGTCAGTATCCTGCTTCTACATGGACTTTTAAAATGTACTTGAGATATCCACAGAAGAGGGCAATGCCCCCCACTACAAGAGAAGGCAAAAATACCCACAATCTATACCAATCTGACCATGGGGTAAAATTTCTTCCTGACTCCAAATGTGACAATCAGTCTGACCCTGAGGAAATGGGCAGGATCCCTAGTCGTCTGCACACTTCAGTCAAAATACAGAACCTTGGCTGTAGTCAACACTGAATGCTTTGGAAGAAGCTGTAAAAGAGCCCCAAAAACCTTATGACACCTGTAGCAACAAGAAGGGAAAAAATTCCTTCCCAGCCCCATGTGGCAACCAGTAAAGCCCAGAAGCATGGGAAATACTAAACACCCTCCACTCTGCTCTGCACCTTGGGGAGAACAAGTGTAAATCTACACATCACACCCTAGAAAGACCATAGCTTAGGCAGTCTACCCTAGTGTGTAGGCCACCAGGGGAAGGCTAGAAGCAGTACTGAAGAACAAGTTTTTTCACTTTTTGCTATGAGTCATTTAGGAGTTAAAACTGTACCAGGTATGACATTGCCAAACAAACAAAAAAAAAAACTGATCAAAGGTTTAACATAAGATTTATTTTGTTTCTCTTAAGCAGATCTAGCCAGTATCACAATAATGACTAATCACTGTAATAAAGATTGAAAGACTTTTTTGAAATCTATTCCAAATTTAACTTGCTCCCAACATTTCTCTTCCTGAGATGTCTGCTGCTAACTGCCAGGTCAGTCAAAAAATCAGGAGAGCTGCTAACAAGTCAGAAGCTACAGTGCATTGCTGAGCTTAGAAAAATGACTTGTTTTTTTTTCCCATTTGTGAAAGTAATACTAAACTTTTTGGCCTTCTCATGGTTCAAAAGAGCTTGCTGTAAAGACTGAAAACTTGTCCTCTGCATTTCTCCTCCATGAGAAAAGAGTTTAATTTCAAAAGGCATACCTGTTACTTGTACCTTTACCAGGTCTCCAATATCTTCTATGAGATGCTGGCAAAAATTATAAGCATTGAGGGTTATACTTGTTTTATTCTATTTTCTGAATGGTTTAGAATCAAGTGAGCACCATGTTTTAGGTCCCACAGGAGTGATGAGCATAGTCAAAGGCTAAGGACAGACATTACACATAAACCAATTTAAGTAATCAGAAACTGGTTTACACCTGTAACAGAACAGATGTTCCAATCACATAAACCAGTCTGAAAATGGCTGAAACCGGTTTGAGATAAACCTGGTTGAATGTAGTATCACACTTAACTGATTTGACTCAAACCGATTTATGCAATGTCTGTCCCAGACCCCTTGCTGGTTTAAGATGAATCAGACTCCCCAGCATCCCGGCATGCTTTCTGGGCTGGGCGGCACTCTCTGCTCCACAGCAGGGCTGGCCCCTTCCCTCTGGTCCCTGGCTGCAGCTCCACAGACTGTGGGCTGTTCCCCCACTCCCCCTCACCACTCCCTGCTAAGTAGGAATTCCCCCATCCTCTCTTCCTTGTGGAGAGGTGTCTATGTATTAGCTACCAGACTACATGCTGGTGACAGTCTGTGCTGAATCAACAAGTAGAATCAACAGGTAGCTAGTAATGTCCCTCTGTTGTTTTCTTAATGGGGTGATAAATACTGAGTTAGGGGTGATAAACACTGTTATCAATTCCCAGCTGAGTTAATTAGAGCAACTTACTGGGGCCTGGCCATGCCCCGCTCCCGTCAGTTCAGTTCTGTGCAAGGGAAGGGAGGGCTGCTCTAGTGCCCCCCAGTTTGTAGCCTGAACCACTGCAGGCATGTGCCTGCATTTCCAGGATGTCTGTCCAGTTACAAAACTGATTTAGCCTGGCCAGGTTAGACTAACCTGCAAAGATTGAATCAATTCAGGCTCAGGCTTTTTGAATGTCTGTCCCTAGCCAAAGAGACGTTACAAAAATTTAGTAGGCCTTAGTGGTTCCTTTTTGCTTTCTTTCACAGACATCGTTGTACTATTATGACTTTTTCTAGTTTATATATTCTGCACATGTTCTCTCAGAGTTTAATGTATCAATAAGATGTTTCTAATTTGCAATAAAATCAGGATGGTTATCATGATACAGTTCCAGAAAATGTCAATTTTAATAAAATGTACTACCATTTCCCTAGGGATTTAAGAGTTTTTAGCAATGCCATTTATTTGTAAATAGCTCTAAAATTCATGTCAATATCTAGCAGTGCCAGACAGATCAACTGTATATACCTTTCCAAATCAGGGTGAAGGTGAGATATATATATACATCTCACCTTTATATAGGCCTCTCAACTACATATATATAACCAAAAGGGGAAAAGGCCCAGTGACTATATTTCACTTCCCTACCCCAAAGCCATCAATATTTTTAGCTCTTTAGGATTCTGTTATCCTTATTTTTCTCTGGAGTTTTTTGTCTTCTCCTTCTAAGGTTTTTTCTTTTTTTTAATCCCTGAGTTAATTATCAACTACTGGGGAGAATGTTTGAGCCCAGTCATTTTGAGAGAATGGTTCAAGGAAGACCACTTGAGGGCAGTAAAGAACTTTGAAATTCAGTCTTTATTCACATTAATTTCTGCGCTCATTTATTGCAGGGATGGGTCAAACACAGCCCACAGGGTGGATACGGCCCACTGAGGGATTTTGTCCGGCCCACAGTAGGCCCCTGGGTCCTACCCAGCCCAAGCATTGGGGGCAACCCAGGCCATGGTGCATGCGGCCAGTCCCAGTGCTCCAAGGCAAACAGCAGGTTGGGATGGCATGGCAGCCAGACTTGCTTCTCCTGCAGCTTTGGTGGAAGAAGCTCCTTCTCGCTGCCACTGCCATTGAACCCAGCCCTGCTGCCCAGGCACCCCAGCCCATTTGCCCTGGACCCACTGCTGGGGCCAAACCCCACATAGGCAGGGCATGCAGCTGGGTGGCTGGAATGAGGCCACAGGCAGGCAGGGAGCAGTGTTTGGGAGCAAGACAGGTGGGCAAGGTCAGGATCATGGAGCAGGATCTTGGGGCAGTGACAACATAAGGTCAGGGTTGGAGCAGAGCCACAATCCACTGCCTGCACACCCCTGTGACAGGCATGGGTTTTGCAGGCAGGGGCAAGCAGGGAGCAGATGAGAGCTCTGTCCTGGGCCTCAACCCCACACTGTTGCCAACCCAAGATCCTGGACCCAGCCCAAACACAGCTCACTTCTCACTCATGGTCCCATCCCATCCATGTGGCCCAGTGTCCTGCCCATGCGGGTCCTAGCCAGTCTCCCTGGACACCCCAGGGATTGCTGGGCAGTGACAGTGTGGGGCCAGGACCTGGGGCAGAGCCACAATCCATTCCCTGTATGCCCCTGGCCACAGAACCTCAGCCCATCACAGGGGTATGCCGGAAGCAGATCACAGCTCTGTCCTGGGCCCTATCCCCCTGCTGTCACTGCCCCATGATCCCAGTCCTGGCCCTGTCCACCTGTCCCACTCCTAGATGCTGCTCGCCACCTGTCTCCAGCCCCATCTTAGCCTCCTGGCTGAGTGCCCTGGGAGTTTTAGTGAGCTATTGTGCAGTGGGGGAGTGAGTAATGACCTGGCCTGGCCTGGCCCAGGAGAACTCACCAAAACTTCCTATGTGGCCCATGGGCCCAAATAATTGCCCACACCTGATTTATTATAATGGATTAAATATTTTTTTTAAATCATAAATTAAAAGGAAGATAGACAGATATCTGTTATTTTCAATAGAAAAGTAACTCCAAGAAATGGTGGAATTCAAATAAATTTTATCTGGTCTAGATATGTCTACGTAAACTGATTCTGTATGAATGCAATCATTTCTTTGAACTGTAAGTGGCTCCCATTTACTTAGTAGTGTTTGAGTACTGTAGCCATGATGGTCCAGGATATTTTGTGGGGGTGACATCTTTCATTAACCAACTGTATGATTGGGAAAGATTTTATAGAAACTTTCAAGCACAACATACTTAGACCTGACCATGAGGTTCATTCAATTAAACACATACCCCAAAATATCCATGCCTGCACCAGGTTTGAACCCATAATTTTTCTGCTAAATATGGGGAATAGGATATTGGCTTGAACTGTCTCACCATTTAGAGATGAGATATTTTCACATTAGTTCAGGAATAAATAGTATTTTCACATGTCTTTACTTTGATGCACAATGAGTTAATTTGCTAATTAAGTCTTAACC